TTTGAGCTTTATCATTTTACAGGTATTATTTATGCTCTAACAGCAACATTACACACTAATTAAAGTTTGAAAAATGGAATCGCGAAGAACGGGACCTTTAAGGAATAAGGACATTTCATTCTACCAAACTTCACGCAAGTGCTGAATTAATACTCACACAGTTCAGTTTATTAGACGAATTAAACTTGAGGTAACGCAGCGCTGTTTCACTTGCTCTAACAGTTACACTATCACACTAAACGGCATTTGAGTGTGTTGAATGTTGTTAGTTAGGTTTTTTGTTGGCTATATGAGACTAGCAGTGAGCTAGATCAACATTAGAATAACATACAGATCATATTCTAACATTTCATCATGTTGAACTAAATAACATTGATTAGTTTTATGTACATTTGCTCACCTGTCTAAAAAAGTATATGCAACACTCGCGTCTCTGTCAAGTCAAAGTTAGTCGCGGACGTGGAGCTCTCGGCATCTCGAAAGATGTTGATCTTCGTTCCAGTCCTCTTTTTGTCTCAAAGTCTGCTTGCCATGGTTCAAAATGTTTGAACAAAACAACAACAGCATGAGCGTCCTGCTAAGCATAACCCAGTTGTCCACGTCTGTCGCCATGGTTACTATGGCAGTACGAGCGGAAACCGAGGGTAACGCGGATATGACGCCATTGACTGGCGACTCCTCACCCCTGCTCACACGTCCCGTTTCCTTGGTTAAAATCGCAATTTTCTCACGATTTACAAATAGTTGGAAACATTGGGGATATTGTAAGTAATCAACTAAACAAAATAGCCTAGTGGCTTTTGGATATTTTACTGCAAAAATCATACATATTGTACCTTTAATAAAAGTATCAATTTCTTTCACAAAAAAAAATCTTACTGACCCCAAACTTTTGAACAGTAGTGTTCACCAATGATGAGCCAAAATATTATGACCATTATGTTGGTCCTACATGTGCTGCCAAAACAGCACCGACCCGCCAAGGCATGGGCTCTACAAGAGCCCTGTAGGTGTCCTGTGTTATCTGGCACCAAGACGGAGCAGCATAAAGCACCTTACGTTTCTCCCTTAAGTATGAGACTTAAGGCATGATTTCCCCTTACCCAAGGGAATGACTTAAAGGAGAACTCCGGTCAATTTTAACATTGAGCTCATTTTTTGTACATTTGGAGTGCTGTCAGTACAGACAAAAACGACAAAAATCGGTGTTGCCTAGACCGTGTTATCCTCTTTTTAAAATTCGCACCCTGTTGACTTCAGTGGGGCAAGTTCTAAACCTGCTTTTAGCCTCTTAACATCCTTGATTTGTCATTACAAGTGCACAAAGCCATGCGAGTGGTGTTATTAAGAGTGACCACGGTCAATCTGACTGCAGTAGATGTGAAAGATATTAATAAAAATTATGTTAATTCAGCCAGCTCACATACCTGTATTTACTTCCTGTTTTCGTTCGAAGTCCACAGTAGTCGATTGTCGAGTTCGCGCGCGCGATCATTAGTTATATTACTTTACCAATGATCGCGCGCGCGATCATTAGTTATATTACTTTACCAATGATCGCGCGCGCGAACTCGACAATCGACTACTGTGGACTTCGAACGGGGCAAACTTGCCCCATTGAAGTCAACAGGGTGCGAATTTTAAAAAGAGGATAACACGGTGTAGGCAACACCGATTTTTGTCGTTTTTGTCTGTACTGACAGCACTCCAAATGTACAAAAAAGTGAGCTCAATGTTAAAATTGACCGGAGTTCTCCTTTAAGGGTGTTGCATATAATCCCTAAACTGTTCTCTAGGTGAGGGAAACTGTTAAGTTTTGCGGAATAAAATTCTGTTGTTGCCATGGACACGTTAACAGCATAACAAAGTGGCCGCTCAGATCTTTATTCCTGCCCATTTCTCCTGCATCCAACACGTTGATTACAAGAACTCATTGTTTGCTTACCATCTATTCGCTTCACCTGTGACTGGTCATACTGTTTTGGAGCTCAACTCAAAATTATAACTACTGGACCAACTGCAGAAAACATCCCTTCTGTTGAGCCTTGATTGGTTTTTAATCATGAAATATCATTCACAGCAGTGCATTTACAAAAATACACACTTTCCCCTTATTCGTTTTTTATCAAATTTGTGATGTTGTGGAATAAAACTTTGAACCGGTGCAATATACACAGAAGTGTAAACTATGTGGATTGTTTTCGCCTTTAGGCTATATCAAGGAAGAGCCAGCTGTGTTTTCATGTATATTTATACTCATATGTGGCATGTGTGTCGGTGGTGTTTTGCTTATGACGTTGAGCTGAGGCATGTGGCGGATCACCGTTTCAGTGAAAACGGAGCAGCCTGAGTCTTGACTAGCCAAGCAAGAGGCCAGTGCCTATCATGACAAAGGTTAAAGTTTGTGCTTGGGCTTCATTGGCATGACAGATAATACCACTTCTGCTTTGCCAAACCAGCTGCAGCTTATCAGCAGACAATGAATAATAAAAGATGCATAAATAAAGTTTTCTGCTTTAAAGACTCTCTCTCTATGTCTGTATCTTCTAGATGGAGATTTAATGAGTGGGAGAGAGACACAAGTGTGAAACACAGCTGTTTGTGAGAGGGTGGCTGTCAGTGTGGTGCCATCTCTGTCTGTTCATGTGGGTTTAGAGTCACGGCGCAGTGCAGCAGCTCCTCTTCACTCACGTGGCAGCAGCTATCAGCCTCCAAACCCATTATCATAAAACCTACAAACCCTAGAGTAGTCAAGCCAACTATGGAAATTCTGTCATTTACTCACCATGATGTCTTTCCAAACAGGTGTTTAGCAGAATCTCAGAGTTGCTCTATTACTTAAAATTAAAGTTGATAGGCTTTCAAGCTCCAAAAATGACTAAAAAGCTTCATAAACGTATCATGGAAGTAGTTCATAAGTCTCCTGAAGCTGTGTGTGGAACAAACTAAAATTTTGACTTCCAAAGTCTTTATTCAATGAAAATGCACACTATTCACACTGGTCAAAAGGTCAGGAAGATGTTTTTTTTTTTTTAGCTAGAATGAATTAAATTGATCAAAACTGACACACACTGAACACATTTGTAATGTTACAAAAGATCTCTATTTCAAATAATGTTTTTTTATGAACTTTCTATTCATCAGAGAATCCTGAAAAACAATATACAATGGTTTCTACAAAAATGGATTGCAGCACAACTGTTTTAACATTGATAATAATAAGAAATGTTTTTTAAGCACCAAATCAGCATATTAGAATGATTTCTGAAGGATCATGTGACTGAAGACTGGCGAAATGATGCTGAAAATTCAGCATTGCATCACAGGAATTAATTACATTTTAAAATATAATAAAATGGAAGTTGTTTTAAATTGTAATAATATTTCACAGAATTACTGTTTTTACTAAATAAATGCAGCCTTGGTGAACATAAGAGACTTCTTTCAAAACTTAAAAAATATCTTGCAGATATTTTTAGAATGCAAACGATAGTGTGTGTTCCACTGTTTTTACAGTCTTCTGAAGCCATAGAATAGCTTTGTTTCAGAAGACGGATCAAAATGTTTAGTCATTATTTTCAAACAATCTTCCCCTCTGTAGCAGCTTTGAAATTGCATTCCTTTTAGAGGACTTGTTTGCTTTAAGATTAAAAAAAATGGCGAGGATTGACTTCCTGTGTGTTGTAAACAGTTGCATTGCAAAAAATTTGAATATGCTATTTACAAGAGCTATTTTCAACGAATAATTACGTTTTCCCTTTCATTGTATTCAGATAAGCAGCTTGAATATTCTATTTCTCCTTTTGTGTTTTACGGACAAAAGGAAGTCATTCACATTTGAAACAACATGAGGATTTAACGCACATAAATGGGTTCAACATAAATGGGGACATTTGAAGGCAATAGTTGAGTTGAGCAGCAGGGTTTTCTTTGAAGTCAAAATAGAGCAAAGGCTAAAAATAGAGACTCCTTGGCTCTTTTTTTTCTCAAACATTCATTTTAGTGGAACAGATCAGAAAAAAACATTCACAGATCGGAAGATTTTCCTCTCAATGACGTCGTTTAGAGATTAAGGTCTTTCTTTTCTCAACATGAGCCAGATCTCCATGAAATCTGTTTGTTTGTTTTTTCCAAAAAGGGATTTTATCTTACCATAGTTTTCGGTTAGCAGTGTGGAAGAAAACACTTCATGCAAGTTATGCTTGCCTCCAGAAGTTCATTGTTTTGCCGTCACGCTGTTCAGTAGGACACGTGTGACTCATCACTGCTGAGATGCGTGGGCCAATCGGATTGCAGATTTCCCCTCTGCATATTGGCAGCCAATGTCAGATGATGTGTTATATGTTGCATGATTTTCCTTAAGGTTGTCTGTGTTTGACAGATTTCTGACCTACAGGAAGGACCGTCCACAAGCCCACACACCGCCATGTGTACATGTCCTCAGTTATTGAAGTTTGCCTCCTTGGTCCACTAATAGCTTGATGTCCTGTTGTTATTTTTTTCCCTATCCAGGGTCATAGCCAGAAAAGGTGTGGAAAACTGGATATTGGGAGCAAAAAATTATTACAGTATTGTCAGCGATAAATATTTAAAAAGGCTTATCTCACATTTGAAGAAATGTTGTAAGTTTTAAGATGACAGCAAGCAGGTTGCGTACTTCCATGTGGGCCTAACAAAACCAGTGCTTGTGAGGAATATGATATTTTGTCAATATCTTGAGATCGCTTTCTGTGGTGTTGATGACAACCCAGAACCCTTTTTATGATGCCATTTGTGGGCGCAAATTAGCTGTCTTCCTAAAATCAATGGCACTTTTCTTACAGAAATTAATCCTTAACCACATTTCTTCTTGATTTCTCTCTCTCTCTCTCTCTCTCTCTCTCTCTCTCTCTCTCTCTCTCTCTCTCTCTCTCTCTCTCTCTCTCTCTCTCTCTCTCTCTCTCTCTCTCTCTCTCTCTCTCTCTCTCTCTCTCTCTCTCTCTCTCTTTCTTTCTCTGCAGGGGTGTGTGGTTGTTGTGGGGCACTGAGGCCACGCTACAAGAGACTGGTGGACAACATCTTCCCCGAAGACCCAGAGGTTAGGACATTCTCTCTCTCTCTCTCTCTCTCAGCTCCATCCTTTAACATGGTCATTTACACTATCGCAATCGCAGAGAGTCTATTTACAGTCAAACAGCCCTTGTTCGCCTCTCAAACCACCTATTTACAATTGCCTTGATGCTCTTGGCAGATGCTTGCTTTCCGAGACCACTTAAAATAAAGTGTGTAAGAGGCAATTACCTAAGCAGGTGTCCGAGGATATGAGCCAGGAGCGGATCCACTCGCACTCGCAGTCTTTGCTGAGGCAGAGTTCAACACCATTTTATGTTATTTGCTGAGATATCTGAAATGTCTCCTTCAGTTCATTTTTGTGAGCCTATGTGCTGCAGTAATCCAGCAAATTAGCTGTGTTCAATGTGGGTTAAAACCAGCAGGGGTGAGCATTACAATAATAGTCTTCCAGCTACCGAACAACTACCACTAGTAACATTAATCTATAGCACCAAAAACTGTCCATAGCAATAGATGAATAGATGAAGTACTTTCCACATCTCCATTTGCTAAATAATTTTTTCTCCCTAAAGTTTGGATTAAGTGGTTGACTCAACTAGTCAGTTAGGTCATTTACAAGGTTATCTACAATGTTTTAGCTTTAATATTTCATATTTATAGCAGCAATGCAAATGAGTAGCGGAACCAATGGGTAGGTGAGTTAAAGGGATACTCCACTTTTTTTGGAAATAGGCTCATTTTACAACTCCCCAGAGTTAAACTGTTGAGTTTTTACCGTTTTTGAATCCATTCAGCCGATCTCCGGTTCTGGCGGTACCACTTTTAGCATAGCTTAGCATAACTAATAATCAAGAAACTTTACTGCCGTACCATGAGTGCAGCAGGCGTAATGATATGACGCAGCGCCTGAAAATAGTCCCCAGCTGCGTCATATCATTACGCCTGCTGCTCTCATGGTACGGCAGTAAAGTTTCTTGATTATTACGCAGGAATGAGAGTATAGTTGCTAGCCATATCAGCCTAGAAAATCGCAACTTTACATTTTCCGTCGGTCTTAGTGCACGATGTAACTACAGAAGAGTCAAGTTTTAAATAGGAAAAATATCGAAACTCTTTGGTCATTTTTTTTTTTAGAAATGCTAATGGTCTTGTCCACTTCAATGATGTATGCTAAGCTATGCTAAAAGTGGTACCGCCAGAACCGGAGATCGGCTAAATGGATTCAAAAACGGTAAAACTCAACAGTTTAACTCTGGGGGAGTTGTAAAATGAGCCTATTTCCAAAAAAAGTGGAGTATCCCTTTAAGTGAGATGATGACTTGTAACAGACTGTCAACTCACTAAAACAATTTTAGAAAAGTTGCATTTCTAAATTCATCACCCTTTAAAAGCACTATAGCCATCAAAGCACCACTTTTATAGCAAATCCGCTGTCTTCATTTCAAGACAATAACTGTCGCTACCTTAGGTCACCTGGTGTGACTGTGAGCAATGTTCCCATTACTATGCAGAATCTGTAAGTCTTCTTTTGGGATAAGTTTGTGCAATTATTTATGTATTTATTTGAATATGTGTCATTTGCCCTGTTAAAGTGTGTTCTTGCATAATTTCTGTCTGCACTATTTTTAATGCAAATATGCTTCCCATGTAGGGATACGCAATATAATGGTACCATATTAATTACTGGCTGATATTAGATTTTTTTTTCTTTCTATATTGAGTACAGTATATTGAGTCTGTATTGAATGTTTATTTATGCATGCTCATTTTCCCTTTTTTTAATTTTTTAAAAGACTAATAAATAATGCTGCTAAATGCCATCACAGGAATAGATAAAAAAGAAAACAGTATTTCACAATATTACTTTTTACTGTATTATCAAAAACATTAAATCTTAGTGACCCCAAACTTTTGAACGATGTATTTTATTTTACAGTTTCTCAAAGGTTTTTCTATATACTCTAATGATCATCAAGATCAAAGGTTGAAACAAAACTGGATATTTAATTCTTACCTATTCCAGGTCTGTTGTGGTTATTGATTGTTTGTGTGTGTGTGTGTGTGTGTGTCTGTAGGATGGGTTGGTAAAGGCTAACATGGAGAAGCTGACTTTTTACGCCCTATCAGCTCCTGAGAAGTTGGATCGGATCGGGGCGTACCTGTCTGAGAGACTGTCCCGTGATGTAGCTAGACACCGTTATGGGTACTGAAATTTATAAGGCTGATCTGAGACTTCCCGTCTTGTATTTTGTAATACAACTCTTTGACTTTCTCCTGTTCCTCCTGCCTGTATTCAGTGTGTGTTTTGTCTCGTCAGGTACGTGTGTATTGCGATGGAAGCCCTCGACCAGCTGCTAATGGCCTGCCACTGTCAGAGTATCAACCTGTTTGTGGAGAGTTTCCTGAAGATGGTGCGAAAACTCCTGGAGGCTGACAAGCCCAACCTGCAAATCCTGGGAACAAATTCAGTACGTACACACTGTTGTATGGTAGTTCACTGACACAAAGGGTAAAGCACTGAACTTCAGTCACTTACTCTTCATGAGTGCAATTTCCATAAAATTTTTGTTTTACAAAATCCTTGTCCAGTAATCACAAATGACTGGGATAGTAAAGAAAATTCCTAAAATCTAAATTATCACTTTTTGTAACATTGTGTAAATGTGTGTAATATGTCCCTTTTAATGTTCTGTATTTAGGACACCATGTACATACTATATAAAATATGTACTATGTAAAATGTACTATATAAAATATTTATATTTATGTTTGCTGATAAACATTGCAGATGAGCCACAAACACACACACACACACACACACACACACTGCAGTGCATCCATCTAAATGCAATAAAGAAATGTAAATAAAATCAGACTCAATTATAGATCAAAATGAGTAATCTATGGCATTGAACATGCACCCACATACAACATAAAATGCAGTGCTTAAACTCAATGTGACTAACCCATTTTAGTATATTCTGTATCACCCATAACCACCTTAGCTACTGCACACTGCAGATATCAGTCACATATAAAAGCCCTTTTTAAACTGATTTAATGCTCAGTGGCGTTTCACAATGACCTTATTTATCTGGAAATGCTTTAGGATAGAGATGCGTTAGTCAGAACTGCACCCACATCTGTTCTCTGATGGGTCATTTGGGTTCTGCAAAGGCCGCATCACATAATAAGAAGGAAATGTAGGTCTAGAGTTTATGCAATTATTCATTAATAACAGATTTAGTATGCAGGCGCTAGTTTAAAATGAGTCATTAAATCATCTTAGTGACAGGGTCTCATCCATCAGTTCTCTACCATTTCTATAATAAGGCATTTTATTTTTGTTTTATTCATGGCCTCAGTGATCTTGACTCAAAATAGCTAAATCTAAAAATAACCTAAAACCTGTCAAATGATAATAGATTGGGTTCCTTTTTTAATCTGAAACACTAAGTAAGACTTAGTATGTTACAGATTTGTTGTTAATGCTCATCAAATATGAATATAAATGCAAATATGTGAAATTATATGTGAATATAATATATGATACATGGTTTAATAACATTAACATTTAAAAACATATAAGTATTTGAATGAGCATAAACTAATGACCCTGTCCTAACCTTAAAATAGTGTAATAATGTTATTAATTTAATCAATTTACTTCCATGCAGGTGAAGTTTGTTCCTCTATATGGATATTTATTATTCTTGGTTGTAGGTGTCAGAAAAGCTTTTATTGTTCAGTAATGATGATGAGGTCGACCGAGGTTAATGTAGAACAAAATATTACGTTAACATTTAATCTTTGTTAATACTGTCTTATAATCACTCACAAGCTGGCCCTGGTTAGAGCAGCATTTGCAGTCTTTTCAAGGAAATGGGTTTTTAACCTGATTTGACTTTGGTTTTCCTGGCTATGTAATTAATTAGTTTATTTTTATTGAATTGCTCTTGTTTTCCAGTTTGTGAAGTTTGCTAACATCGAGGAGGACACTCCCTCATATCATCGCAGTTATGATTTCTTCGTGTCGCGGTTTAGCGAGATGTGCCATTCCAGCTTTGAGGACCCTGACATCCGCACCAAGTGAGAGAACACACATGTACTGTACACGTCTGACTGTGTGCAGTCAATCTAGATAGATAGATAGAACATTTAATAGAATATAACTATATACTGTATACACTATACACCTTATTTTTAACATAAGAGCATTGCCATTTGTAAGTTAAATGTTCAAGGCTTCCAGTGTCATGTGTTTCCAGTTATTTTACCTATGCAAAAACAGTCTGTTATGCTGATTTATATTGCAAATTGGTATTTATCATATTAGTTTAATTTATTATCATACTCATAAACACACTGTTTTGTTGCACAAATATTTTCACCATTTACTGCACTTTGTTATTCTTATAGTTATTTACCTATAGCAGAGCTAATGAATCAGAAGTCTTGCACATTCACTGAAAACTACTTATTTCCACATAAAAAAAAAAAAAAAGGTGGATACACACGTTTTTCCAAACTAACTGAGTACTTCCTCATCTCAGAATCCGAATGGCTGGCATTAAAGGTCTGCAGGGAGTAGTGAGGAAGACCGTGAACGATGAGTTGCAGGCGAACATCTGGGACCCTCAGCACATGGACAAGATCGTCCCCTCGCTGCTCTTCAATCTGCAGTCTGGTGAAGGCACAGAGAGGTGAGAGTGTTGGGCTTTAACTAGTTTATAATTGACTTCTATGGGATATAAACTTTTCTTCCTCAAGGGACACTTGGCAGCTCTCAAAGCTGAATCCTCCTTTGAGCTGCATCATTTAAATTGACTAATTACATATCATACAATTGGAAATCCAGCAATATAAGCTGTTACGGCAGGCTCGCAAGCTGTGACGAAGGAGGCAACACATTGGATAATGATAAAAAAGGACTGACATTTATTAAAGTAAGAGGAAAAAAATAGGAAAAGACAAACTAAACAAAACAAACAACTGAAAAGGGAACAAAAACGGCACGAAGAGGGGAGCGCCATCACAACTGAAGGGAACTGCTCAAATTGCCGGGGTCAGCTCCAACACGGGGTCACTCCTCAGTCATAATGACGTCACTCACCCAAAGTCCATCCTGCAAAACAAACAGAGAAAAACTAAGCAAACACACTGGGTTTAATACAAATCTGTATGAAAGTATCTTTCAAAGTCTTATCCAGTAATCACCCATTATCCAGATAGGTTCAGCCATTAAGTCCCATCCATTTCTAGGACCATTTCATGCAAACTGCTATTCTGTGTGGGTGAGAAGCAGCATCTTGCTGTCTTTGCACCTACAGTCAGATGCCTACAAGTTTGACATTATCCTATGGGACACGATTGTCCCTGCTGACTCAACTCTGAGCCAAGTGGTTGGGAGGAGGGAAACAACAAAAAAGGAGAAGAAGCTAGGAACAAGCTAGGACTGAGGTCACAATTATGTCAGCATAGCTGCAGTTATCATGTGAATCTATAGTTTCCTTTGACTATTACCGCCGGTAATATATTTGAATGGACTGCTCTGCTTTAAATTTTAATTTCTGTCAAATGTTAAATCAAATATTTGTAGATAGTTTATGAAAAAAAAAAAAATTGTATTATTTAATTATTTTGCCATGAATATAATTTTTGATGCTAATATGGCTATAAAAAATAAATAAATAAGATATATGTGACTATATGAGTAGGGATGGCCGGTATGACCACTCATGGTATTAGTACTTTCATACAGAATCTCAGTAGCACCATATATATCACAATATAGTTTTTTTGCTGATAATTCAACAATTATTTATATTTTGTATAACCATGTAGAAATACCTATACTATCATTCAAAAGTTCGGAACATTGAGATTTTTTAATGTCTTTAAAAAAAGGCTTTAAGCTCACCTAGGCTGCATTTATTTGATCAAAAATACAGTAAAACAATAATTTGTAAATATATATAAATATATTGTAATTTATTCCTGTGATGGCAAAGCTACATTTTCAGCATTATTACTCCAGCCTGTCACATGATCCTTCAGAAATCATTCTAATATGCTGATTTGGTGCTCAAGAAATATTTATTCTCATCAATGTTGAAAACCGATGTGCTGCAGATATTTTTGTGGATAATAAAATACTTTTTTAAGATTCTTTGCTGAGTAGGAAGTTCAAAAGAACAACATTTTGAATTTGGGGTTTCACAGTCTTTTTTAAAATTATTTTCACACCTGTACATCATTTAAATTTTGTATTGATATGTAAAGTTGTGGCGTTTGAAACCATAATTGATCTACAGCTACACCGCACCAAATGTGAGTGGTGTGTTGTGAGACGTCAAACTAAATTGTTGCCATTATAATCATCAAAGACCAGTCTTTGTTGATGTGCCCCCTATGCAGCCATAATTACACCGCAGGAAGAGACTTTAATTACCCCTTTTTGCTGTTTGGTATGTGCTAATTGCCGTTTGATGTAAAGGGCAGCTGATAATTAACTCATCCTGTCAGATGTGCACATTTCAGATTGGCAGAACAGCAGCCACAGCAGTGGACTAAAACACAGTGTGTTTGTTTCTGGTAAACTAAACAGTCCAGCATCCTTCTGGATGTGTGGCGAGAGGCATTTAGCTGAAGTGAGAAGAGCTTCTGCAGATTTCGACAGTCGTCATGCGGTTATATAACCGAGGGACCGTGAGCAGAGCAGCAGACTGACTGACAGCAGGGTGTGTGAGGGCAGAGGAACAGTGTGATTAATTAATGATGAGACGAACCCTGTGAGACCCAACGCTCTTTTTCTGACACAGACAGTGAAGCTCTCACAGGACGTATTCCTTTATTTATGACATATTGTCAGACTTTCAGGGTATTTTCTCAATCTCTATTTTCTATAAAAAAAAAAAAAAATCAGAACATACTTAAGATAAATTTACTTGGGAAGAAAAATATGTATGATGACTTAATATAACTCATGTGACTATAGCTGGACTGTCCTGCTTTTTATGTTCATAGCATAGGCAATGGTTTTATTAAGAAATTTCAATAGTAGATGTTTTTTAAAATGTTCAATTTATATAGTTCTAATGTTGTAATTTAAATATATTAATATATTGTATTATTTTATATATATTATATTGTATTTTTAATTTGAGATTTTCATGCTTATAAATTACACAAACACGTTTTGTCTTGTTTTATTGTATAAAACAAAGCCCATTAGAACATATTTAATGTTTTACTTTAGAACGTACTTAAGAATTACTTAAGAAGCAAATTATGTATGATAATAAAACTTGAATATGGCTAAGTGGAGATTAGCCAATAATGATAGAGGTCATTTTACATTAGTCTTATAATTTCAGTATCAAAAACAGACAGTTTAATTTTAACAGTCAGAGAAAATGTCTAAATTATGAGGTCTTTAATGCAAGAATCATTGCCTAATATTAGAAGGGCACTGCTGGAAATTTGTTAATTTCCTCTTTAGGCCTGTTGTCTTATTGAATTACTGGTGGTCTTTTTCACTTTTAAACACTCATTTGGTGATTTGATATGTCAGTAGTTTTTTATTCAGCTTCTTCTCCGAAACCCAAGCTCTTTTTCAATTCTCAGTTGAGAAGAGCTGAAAACTAAACGTCTCCCTCTTTCTGTTTCCTGTGCAGTCGCTCTCCCTCTCCGCTGCAGGCCAGTGAGAAGGAGAAAGAAAGCCCAGCTGAGCTGACGGAGCGCTGCTTTCGGGAACTGCTGGGCCGTGCCGCCTATGGCAACATCAAGAACGCAGTCACCCCTGTGCTTATGTAAGAGATCTGCCACACATCACGCCTGTCAGAATAGGTTATGAAATATATATTTTTTCATTTATGCTGGTATTTCTTTAGTTTTTAAGGTATAGCTGTATTCTTACATTACTTCCAAGTTAAGATTTAGGAAATTTGCTTTATAATTATCCAGTCTGTTAATGTTGGCATATTGATTAAGAGTAACTCAAGAATATTTAAAACTCATCTCAGTTCTGGATTATTTATGAGTTCATAATTAATCTCACTTCGGGTGGTGTGAATCTCATTTTTCAGTCGCTTCTGGCTTCATTTCTCTAGCTCAAGCTCTCTCGGTTCTCTCACCGCAGGCATCTTGATAATCACTCTCTGTGGGAAGGCAAAACATTTGCAGTGCGCTGCTTTAAGATCATCATGTACTCCATTCAGGTGAGTTTAGTCCTTAATTGAAAAAAGAATCTAAACTTTAATAAGAAACTTTTTATAATTTATGTACAGCAGATCTATCATATTATATTATATTATAGTATACGTATTATATTATAGTGGTACAGAAATTATACACACTTTCTCATACACACACACACACACATATATATATATATATATATATATAAGGTTATAATAATAATATATCTTAATATATTTTATTCTTGGGGTGCTGAACAATTCACTTAAGATATTAAAAACTTTTAATCACCAAGAATACCAACAATTGGGCATCACACACTCAATGTGAATAGTTTTACTTTATATTAATATGTTATCCAATTCTGTTTAGTTCTGATTATTAGTGATGCAAAGATTATCCTTATTAAAATATTTGAATTTAATTACATTTTTTAATAAAGATTTTTAACCTGGTCATTTAAATCTCTCTTCTTTTTCTCTCTTTCTTTCCATCCCTCCAGTCTCAGCATTCTCATCTGGTCATCCAGCAGCTCTTGGGCCATTTAGATGCCAACAGTAAGAGCTCAGCCACAGTGCGTGCTGGGATAGTGGAGGTCCTTCTGGAGGCGGCTGCCATCGCTTCCAGTGGCTCTGTTGGTGGGTGTGGATTTACAATGCCGGTTAAAATGAATCACGGTCATTATTATACTAAACATTAAGTAGTGTAGCCAGTATAAAGCTCATTGCACAGGAACAGAGTGGTGTCTTCTGAATATTTATGCACAAGCTATAACATATATCACATATTTCCTGCCTATGCTCAGTATCTGGGTCACTTTCCCCCAGACGTTAAGCTGCTCCTCTGTGAGAAGAGAAGTGTGACATTGCATCTGACCCAATCTAGATTTCAGCCAATAATATACATTTTTATAGCCAGACTCTCCTCTCTGACGTCAAGACAGTGCTCACACCTAATGTCCCGTGTGAAAGCCCTGTCACACTTCTTCTGGCAGCACTGCTGCTGACCCAAGGGGGCGGCGCCACCTGCAGCTCGAAACTAACTCTGAGTCATTTCATCCGATTCATTTATGTGAATCAGGTCCTTTTGGACATTTTGAAGATTTAAATGACCTGGTTAAAAAAAATATTTTATTCATTTGCTTTATCACTGATTTTATATATTTAAAAAATTATATAAATAATATAATTTTATATTTTATCATATTAAAAAGTATACTTTTTGCATCACTACTAGCATCATCAAAAAGAATTGCAACAAGAATTTTTTATTGCACTACAGAGTTTTTTGTCAAATATTTAGTTTTTTGAAAACTGTTCTTACCGCCCAGAAACTTATAATCGCTTTGCATATTGTTTTGATTAGTAAAAAGAGTGGGTGAAAATCAACTATTTGTTCAAAAATTGGACACTAATATCTCTAGTTGTACTGATTTAGTCTACTCTGCTTAGCTGCAGATGGCTAATGTTAAAAAAGTGGCTGCATATATTAATGTGTGTGTCTGTTTGTTGCTTATTTTAGGCCCCACGGTGCTGGAGGTGTTCAACACGCTGCTCCGGCATCTGAGGCTCAGTGTGGACTATGAACTCACAGGATCCTATGACTGCACCAACATAGGCACCAAGATCATCAAGGAGCACGAGGAGAGACAGCTACAGGAAGCCGTCATCAGGACTATCGGTGTGTTTGTGAGCATAATACGACAGATATTTCACGGTCTTCTTTAAGTTTCTTTATTTTTCATTACTATGGTCTGTGTCTTTTGAAATAAGGCTCATTTGCAAACACGTTACCCACGTATCAGTGCTCGGAAGTGATGCTGTTCATCATGGGAAAGATCCCTATTCCAGGCATGCATTTCACACTGCCCTCTACAGGCTCAGGGTGAGCACTGCAGCCACTACATACTGTTTTTTTTACTAAGAAAATCCCACAAATTAATATTATTAAACATTATTGTGGTAGATAAAAGCATTTATGAGACATTACATTTAATAGACATATGTTTTCTTTATTTTCATACCATTGCATTTAAGTTCGTGGCAATTGTTGTTTGGCTAAAGTCTTTGCAAATCCGATTGTCTGAATTTTCTAAAAAGAACCCATTCAAACAGAATTACTGTTTTATTTGAAAGCTCGAAGGTCTTCACTTTGTACATTTTCTGAGGTGAACATCATTTCTTGTGTCTGTACTGCAGGCCTGAAGGAAACCGAATGATCCAAGTCATGCTGTTGAAGTCCTTGAGACAGGTAAAGTCTACCTGCTTGATGCCTCATGAAAGAGAATTACATCATAGCAAAGATTTGATGCTGCAAAGGTAATGTTTCTCTCTTCTTTTTTTTCTTCACCGTCCAGGTCACATGTGGTTTTCAGACGACTAACATGCTGACAGCTCTGCCCAACTCCTTTCTGGACCCATTGCTGTCATTTGCTCTGCTAGAGGATGCAGAAATTCGGCTGCTGGTTCTGGAAATTCTGGTCAGCCTCATCGATCGCCACGATAACCTCCCCAAGTTCTCCACCATCAGGTTAGTGTCTTTATTGGATTTAGGTCTAGGTGTTCTGATCATGGTGTATACACTACTGTTCAAAAGTTTTACATTTTTTCATGTTTGTTTTTAAAAGAAGTGTCTTATGCTAACCAAGGCTGCATTTATTTGATCAAAATACAGCAAAACAATAATATTGTGAAATATTATTACAGTTTAAATAACTGTTTTTTATTTGAATACATTTTAAAATGTAATTTATTCCTGTGATGGCAAAGCTGAATTTTCAGCATCATTACTCCAATCTTCAGGGTCACATGATCCTTCAGAAATAATTATAACCTGCTGGTTTGATGCTCAGGAAACATTTCTTATTATTATCATTGTTGAAAACAGTTGTGCTGCTTAATATTTTACGAACAAAATTTTATCAGGATTCTTTGATAAATAGCTGGTTTAATTAAAAACGATTTTTAATTAATTTATTTTAAAAAGGAATCTATTGAAACATTATAAATGTCTTTACCGTCACTTTTAATCACTTTAATGCATCCTTGCTGAATAAAAGTAATTTTTTATAAAGAATCTTACTTTGACCCCATTCTATTGGTAATATGTGCTGATGAACTAGGGGACTCTACTGGTCAGCTTCCATCTGCTAACACTTTAAGAGAGCATGAAATCTAAATTGACCCTATTTACTTGAATAATAAATGTCCTATTGTGCTCAGTTCATCAGTGCATATAATTGTAATTAATAAAATAAAATGTATGTAACCATTAAACAATTTATAACAATAATTACTTGCACTTTTCAATGACCATTGAATATTCAGTTTCAAATTTGAAAAATTTCACATTACAGGTAAATTCATTGTAGCGTTTATACGCACGTATAAATATGACTAATTATTATTCATAACGGATTATGATCAATAATTAATAATTTAATTATTTTCAGAATTTACTGTAGCAGAATCAATAGTATGATCATTTTATCAGTTCATCCAATGAACGGAAAGCATAAACAATTATTAATTCTAGGAAATATAATATCTTCCTGGCCAAGAAAGACTAATTCCCAGCTAACAGCTAAATTAAGAAATAATTCCAGGGTAAAAGCATAAGTAGCTTAGATCGCAGTTCAAGACAATAAATTCGTAAGCACATAACACAAGTAATGCTTTTCTTTTCAAATACAAACAATACTTTATTGATTATAAGCCTATGACTAACACATAAAACTAATATCTAACACAAACACACGCACACGCATTCATACAAGTTGAAGAAAGAAAGAGAGTGAGGAAGAATGGGTTTTAGGAGTCAGATGGTGAGATCCCAAGTTTCTATATGCACTTAAAAGACATGACCTGAACAAATCCATCAATCATCGATTTAACCCTTCTATCGTTTCTTAGGCAGGTTATTCAATTTTATATTAAACACCAGTTCAGCTAGAGTCAGGAGGCTACTTGCTTGTCCTTGCTTTGGGGTTCCCTTTTGTCGGTGTAAAGTGGTTTCCCGGGTCCGTTGCTTGGCTAGTGGTCTCCTCGTGCCTGCAAGATCTTGGGCAGCCAGTCACGTGGTGTGTTGGCGGATGGATGAAAGTCTTTGAAGTTGGAAGCGCGTTGCAGTCGAAACGTTTAAACGAAACTTTGCAGCAAAACTTAACTTAGAACCGAGACTTTTAACGGAAAAGAAAAGAAAACTAAGGAAAAGAAAGGAAAGTGAGACGAGTTAGATGGCTTTGATCTTGATTTGGGTCATTTGTCTTCGTTCGTCTACATGGTTACTTTAACCATCGTCGGCTCCACCCGGCTTGTTGTTCTGCCGAGATATTTTCCGAGGGAGAGAGCGAGGGCAAGAGAGTGGGCGAGAGAGAGTCATGAGCGCGTCACATGATGGAGGAAGAAGCAGCCAGCAAGAGAGCGAGAACACAAGAGATTCTGTGTTCGGGTCTAAGATTTTAAACTCAAAGTTGTCCAACCTCCCGGATGGGTTCTGGCCAATTAGAAAAGTGGCCCTATTTCATGTAAATCATGGGTTATCTATGATCTCCTTGTTATCCAGCACTAGCAGAGAGAACAATAGGCCACAATTTAGACATTATTACTACTATACGAATACAAAACATTTTACACAGATTTCAATCGAGCCATCTTTTGAATTAAAAACGTACAATCCTGCTGACATGAAGCACGACACACTTTCATTCACACCTCTAATATTTATAACAATTATGAATTGTTATGGCATCTAAGCATATTAGGCACACACATATAACATAGAATAACATAGAATTGTGCAGTTGCATGATGTTTGAATATAAGTCCATCGAGAATTGTTCTGGGATGAGTTTATGGATATTGGAGAATTGGAGGAAAGTCCTTATGTGTGTGTGTGTGTGTGTGTGGGTATCCTTATGGTCAGCATTTGTCACATCCGTGGTGTGTACCACGTGAGGGTTTAGTTCGCAAATGGTTTACTTCAAGACAAAGGGTAGTTTTGTATGTAACTCCACTTATCAGCCTAAGGAGACATAATAATTGATGAGGGGGGAAAAAAGTTAGCTCGAGACCCTGAATGGAGCAGTCTTATTCTTTGTGACCGAACACAAATTACAAGCAGGGTAAGGGTTCGAGAACAACGGGGACCTGTTTCTTGATTGCGCAATGCGTCATAAACGAAGTTAATCAATCACCTGCATTGGGGCACCATATCACATGATTCAAGGTTTTGTGAATTAAACGTATATGTGTTCATATTTGTTCAGCAGTGAAAGGAAAACAAGCAGGATTCGGTCAGTCGCTACAGTGATTATGTATGACAGCTTCAATTGTGTTCGGTTTATTCACGTAGTCGCTACAGCATTAAAACTGGCTTTTCATGCAGGCTTTACTAGTTTTTCCTGTGGTTTCATGTGTCACTTTGTCCCCATGCAGTATCATCTCTGATATCTCTGTGCTTAAGCTCAAAGTGGACAAGTGCTCACGTCAAGACAACCTCTTCATGAAGAAGGTACAGCATTCTTCTATCCATCACTCATCTCCCCGTTGTCATGATCATTCTGATCTTATATGTCCAAAGGGCTGATGTTGTGTTGATATCTCTGTTTTTAGCATGCGCAGCATCTGTACAGACACATTTACCTGTGCAGTAAGGAACAGAGCAGCGTGCAGCCTCACTTTGAGAAGCTCTACTCACTCCTGGCCCTCATCAGCATGGAGCTGGCCAACGAAGAGGTGGTGGTGGACCTTATCCGCGTGGCGCTCGCTCTACAGGTGTGTTTACACTCCTAAAGTCCTAAAGTTTTGTGACTTTTACTATGAATATGTTTGCTCCTAAACAATGACAAAATGCACTTTTAGAAGATGTATGCATTCAAAATTTACAGTCTCAAATCTTAGAAAGTATTTTAGTCTGATTTGAACAACTGCACACATATAGTACGTCAGGGTCACCGATTCCAACCAGGCAGAATTAGGGGTTACCAAAATCCTTTACCTCACTCTCGGTCTGTCCCAATCGTTATGAGTTGTTATTTAGCTGTTGTGTCCTCTGTACTGGCCTGAATTTGTGTTACCTTAGTTGTAAATTTAAAGGGTAACTAAACACTAAACCAACTTTTTTAAATGAATGATCTGTAAGACTGGGGCTTTATTAGTGCTGTTCATTGATTCGAGTAACTTTTTTGACATTTGGGTATAAAGTGTTTTAATTCTACAATATATGGTGTAAAAACGTCTGAGTGCTGCCCTCTTCAGGTTGAACGGTGGCTAGTGCAGTTGAATTTTCCTATTGGATGTTTGCAGTAGTTCGTGACGGTAGCGGTGAGAGCTGACGTAAGCAGGTTCCAGCTTACCACGCCCTTGGTACAAGCTACCACATTTACATTTATTCACTTAGCTGACGCTTTTATCCAAAGCGACTTACAATTGCTATATATGTCAGAGGTCGCACGCCTCTGGAGCAACTAGGGGTTAAGTGTCTTGCTCAGGGACACATTGTTGTCTAGCAGTGGATTAGAACCCGGGTCTCTCACACCAAAGGCATGTGTCTTATCCACTGCGCCATCACCACGTCCATGGCAGTATAAAAACCATCTTGTTTCGTCAAAACCACTGTAGCGAGTCAGGAGTTGGAATTGCAACTATTGAAAACGATCAGGATAGAGTATCCGTTCATCCCCTCTATCTCCGCTGGGCTCCGCCCACTTTTCCAGCATTTTTCAAATATTGCCAGTTGGTGGAGTCAGGCTCTGACCAGGGGTTTAGTTACCCTTTAATATCTCTTTCTTCTGGCTGCCGTAATCGCTCTTTATTTTTTTTAATCTTTTGTAAAGTCATGGAAATTCAATATTAGTTCCTTTCTTGTGCTGATGGCACAAATGGGAACACATAAAAACTATATTTGCAATGGTCTCCATTACCCTACTATAGTTTACATGCGAGTCCATCAAACCACACATACCGGTAAACACACAACATGCACAAAGAAAACAAAACTAAACTATTAATCTTTGTCAGCTCTTTTACACAGAGTGTGAAATATGTTATGGTTCTATCTATTTATTGTCATATTTTTATTATGAAGCTAGATCATTTTTTCATTTATTTGAAACTCAAACTGTTTTTAAATTAGAAATTCAACATCACATTTTTGAATGTTAAAAATTTTGTTTTTTGTTTCATCATGACCTACGTGGTTTAACAAGGAATTCATAAAGACTTTGGTTTCAGAGTTTCTTCTCATCTTCCTGTGTTGCTTTCCTTCCAGGACTTGGCACTGAGCGGTGAGGAGGCGTTACCGGTGTATAACCGCTGTGCTGTTCATGCCCTGTCCTCTGCTTACCTCAATCTCATCAGTCAGCTCACCACCGTTCCAGCGTTCTGCCAACACGTTCATGAGGTCAGTGCCATATAGATGCTGAGCACAACCGCCTGATCTGTAGTCACTAACAGTTTCTTTTTATCAGATCTATTGCATAACCATTTTAGATGAATAAAATGTATTAACCTTTTTGCAGGTGATTGGAATGAGACAAAAAGAAATTCCTCACCTGTTACCTGAGGATGTCTTCGTTGAAAACCCAACGTAAGACAAACTGTTTAATGTTTTATATTATGCTCCATATTATTCAGCGAGAATTGCGGTTTCCACTTGAATATTAAGCAGAATCATTTTTTCCAACATTGATCAAAATAAATGTTTCTTGAGCAATAAATCAGCATATTAGAATGAATTCTGAAGGATCATGTGACTGAAGACTATAGTATTTTTACATATTTATTTAAATAGGTTAAGTTATTTTAAATTGTAAAAATCTTATGCATATTTAAATTGATTTATTTGATTAAAATACAATAATATTGTAAATTATATATTCTAAATTATGATTCCCTTGTATGATTTCCCAGGATTCCTAAGACACTGGAGAAGCTGGAAGGAGAGGTGTTGTTCCAACAGGCCAAGATCACTGAGGTTCTTGGAGGAAGTGGCTACAACACTGAACGACTAGCTACACCTTACGTCCCTCAGTTTACAGGTGCATGAAGGAGCATTTTGTGCCACACCATACATCATATAATTTCAAAAATTACCCTATTTTTTTAATAGATAAATTTTTCTTTATAAATGTCTTATTGTGTACAAATTATCATTGTGCACCAATCAAATCCCAATGGATAACCTGCTCTTCATTGTTTCCTGCTGAATATTCTTGAATTCTTCGAAACACGTCACATGGCACACTCTAAATGCACTGTGTGTGTCGTTCATATTGTTTTTAAGAAAACAATGTAATTCTTATTGTTGATAAGCGGCTACTCAGGCTTTAGCCAATGCAATCAAAGCATTTGCATTGCAAATGAACTGATTAGCTTAGTCTGATTAGTGTTAGCCTAAAGTTATTTCTGCTTATTATTAGCTGACTGACAGATATTGGTTGAGTAAACAGTTGATTAATTCCACCCTCTTCCCTTAGATGAAGACCGGCTGTCAAAGAGAAAGAGTGTTGGAGAAACAATATCTCTCCAGGTGGAGGAAGAGTCCAGAAACAGTCCGGAGAAAGAGGAGGTAAATGAAACCATACAACCCTTACAGGGACGTTTATGAAACATTTTTTACTGGTTACATTTTTTTTATTGAGGACATTTTCAGAAATTTGGCATTCCCACGAATAGCAAATCAAGCCAACACAGGTTTACCTAGTTAAATTTAACAAGACATAAAAAAAAAATGTTTTAAAATATTTAGCATTTTTAGATTAAGAATATATAATATATATATATATATATATATATACATATAGTTTTAATATATAGTTTTACCTTGTTCATAGATAGTCAGATATAGCTGACTTCTGGGGACAGCATTGCTCTGATGTATGTTTTCTTTTCCTACAGAGAACACCAGCTGAAGAAATCACTTTTGAAACACTGAAAAACGCCATCGGTGGGTTGATTTAATGAGAATTGAACTTTCTCTAAATTGTCTCTGCAGATATTTCCAGAACCTGCATGATGTAATTGTTTGTATGATTATTGCTTTGTTAACTTCTCTATTAGCTGAACAGTGCTAAAGTGTGTATGTGTGTGTATTCTCCAGTGGACAGTGTAGGCGTGGAGGAACAGGAGAAGGAACGCAGGAGACAGGTGGTTGAGAAGTTCCAGAAGGCCCCCTTTGAGGAAATAGCTGCCCACTGTGGTGCCAGAGTGAGTTAACTATAACTTCATGAAAATGTATTCCACTGTTGTCTTCTCTCACACTGATCAGCTCAATATTGTAATTTAGGGCTAATACTTGTTCGTCTGTTTCCTCCCAGGCTTCAATGCTGCAGAGCAAACTTAATCAAATCTTTGAAATCACGATCAGGTAGGTTGCAGCATGGCTCATTTCAAACATCAGCCGTCTCTGGTAAAGATGTTTGTGGTGATAAATCTTCTTATCTTTTTCGCTCTTTCTTGCTTGCAGGCCTCCTCCCAGTCCATCTGGAACCATCACATCAAGTTACGGCCAAACCCAGAGTCGCTCAGTTCCCGTTTATGAGATGAAGTTCCCGGACTTGTGCGTTTACTAGTGCAGCTCAACTCAGGATTCAGGAACCTTCAGTAGCAGCCAGAGGTGCAGAGAGCTGGAGGGTTTTAACTATTCAATGATATTTTGATGTTATAATGCAGGAGAACTAAGAGGTCATCCCTCCTCTATCCTATAAACCTCATTGCTGGATTGTCCCATTCCCCGACCTATGCTGTTACTGTAGAGTGTACACAGTAACTGTTGGAAGAATTTTGGACATTTGGGTTCAGTTACACTGAAGTTTTCCCGATGTAAAAAATATTTCCCACATATTCTTAGTTATTCTGCTCCTCCATAATAAAATCAGCTCACATATATGTATTTGGGCAAGTATTGAAGCAAAATTCCAACTCAACTGGGGCACAAAACCTATTAAGAACATGTCCGAGTAATATTTCACCCCAAAATAAATAAGTAAATTATATTTTGAACATTTTAAAAACTATTTTAGGACCTTTAAGATTTATTTTGCATTGTATCATTATTTTCATGACAATTAAGCACATTTACCCCAAATTCTCATAATTGTAATTTGAGAAAAACATTTTTTTATTGTAAATGATGTGTACATTTATTGTAGGAATATACTGTCTTTGACTATGCGTATTACAGTGCATTACAGTAATTCCTTATTATAATAAAACTATAGTAAAATCACCATTGAGACTAATGAGAATTTTGAAAAACACATTACAATATTGAGACTTTTGGAGGTAAATATTATAATGCCATGATCATGATGCAAAAAAATCTTAATGGTCATTAAATAGGCTTCATTTTCTTTATGATCAATATATATACACACATTTTTTTTTTACTGTAGAATAAATGGTGACCACATTTTGTTCAGATGCTTTTTAAAGGGGAGTTTCATAGAATAAAAAGGGGGAACTTCCCCGTATTGAAAGCTCTGATAAATTGTGACAAATCCCAAACAACCTACAAACCTTTCTACCAAGAGTTTAAATGCAATTAGTATCAGTGAAGTTAATTTATTGCACAAAAAATCTCTGAAATGATTTTTACTTGTTGGTGCTAATTTTTGTTTCTAGTAGTTTGAACATTTAGTGAATCAACTTTGTATTGTTTTCTTTAAACATTGGTAGCTAATGTTTATCACACAGTGTTCTGCAGTCTGTGTAGATATCTGGAGTTCGTATCACTGGAGGTGTGACGCCTGTCTTGTGTGTTAAACACTTTTGTCACTAAGTGGCGTTAAGGAGCTCTCTGGTGCTCAAGGAACTATTTAATTACCGGTAACACTTTTTTCTATTTATCTACCCAGTACCCATACTCATTTGCTTAGCATCTGTAACCTGCTATGTTGTGCTTATTTTTGAGTGCTTCCACAGTCTTGTGGCATCGGACAATTTTTTAAAATTATTTTTATTTTGTAAACATAAGCATAATTTTTACTGTGTATATAAAGTTGCGTATAAGATCTATGAATATATGTAAATAGCTGTTTATTAGTTTTCGAATGCTCTGGTTTAGTCCTGGTTAGGTCATTGTCTGAATGAGAGTGTGTATTTCCTTATAATCATAAGTCAGTATGACACCTTCATTTTAAAAGAGTTTGCAAAATTCGTAGATTTGTTTTTGTGATTGACTACTAGCTCAAGGGTTCAGAGGCAAATGAAGAAAAACAGTCTATCAGGAACGGCAGCATTGCCATAAATCACACCTCTGGTCAAGTTGTGTGTCATCTGATTCACATAAAGCTCTGCAAATATCCCAGATCATGCCGAGAGATGACTGTTATTTTAGTGCTGATCTGTGTCTCTACATTTACATAATATTTAAAGGATAATATACAGCCAGGGTTTATTTTGCTATTGTGACCATCTGACTGTACATTATCCTGCTTATTAATTACTGCTAATAACCAAATAAATAAATATATGGATATGAAATATATTCATTTTGAGTATAAAAACTGCATTACAACGTAGAAAACTGTCAGACTAGCAACAAAACATGCAATGCAACAATATTACTATATTAATTTATATATTACGTTTAATCTGCAATCCAAGTTATATTTTTCATGGACTAGTTAGCTAACATATTTATCTACAATGTAACAAGTCTTCCTCTGTAATAAGTTCTCTCTCATCCAGCTCTTTGTGTTTCTTACCAGTTCATTGTTCTTCCACGCATTTTCTTTAAATTATTTTCTTGCTTCTATACTTGTCAAAAACGATAAACATGCCATGGTTAGATTCACAGTTTAGCGGTCATTATACAAAATGTTTCCTGTTGGCCAATAAGAATCAAGTATTTTAGAGGCTGTATAATAAATTCTATATTTTTATCATTTGATGAAAAGCATTATACCTGTAGGTGTGGAACCTTCCATTTTCCTCTTTTATGTGTTGTCTGCATATTTTAGTCCCATTATGCGAAAGGACTATTTTTTGTTTGGCTGTGGATCTTTATAGTGCCATTAACTGCTGTGCTTTTTCTAGAGGATTCTCTCAGCATGCTGTTATTTACGTCATCAATTGGTGACTGCATACAGTATATGTTTTAAGTGTTACTTTTTATGTTTTTAAGAGCATATAACATGAGGCCAAGTATCAAAACAGATTAAATTATTTTTGCCTTTAATTCATTATTCATTTATATTACACAGACAGAGTAGTAGATATTTTAATGATCCGACAAAAATAACCAGAGATACCTAAAAAGTAAATGCTATGATTCCTGTAGTCAGTAGTGTCTTTACCCCACAAGTAGACCTCTGCCGTCCTTAGTATTAGTATGAATTTGCTATACGAGTATTCCCTTGAAATTAATCTGAATTGTAGCCCCGATTATATCACTGTAAACGCTCAGTGGTTCTGTAAATACATCTCACATTTCTTCAGCAATGAATTTAATGTCTGTGAGAATGTTTTTGGGCTGTGACGTGTCAAAGTTAGTCATTTGTTATAATACCTCTGCAGTTTATGTCTCATTTCTGGTGTAACTGGAGTCAAATATCAGTCACAATGTATGTTTCTTTTTCTAACGAATTAAAGTTTTCCCTATGAAATGCTTGTGGTTAAACTGCAAATAGACAATAAAACATTTTCAATAGAATGCAGTGTCCTCATTGGAAATGTTTTCCCACAAAACTCAAAAAGCTTTGAACTGGGAGTTGTTTTAAACTTATTTTATTTGTTATTTTATTTGTTATTTTAGACTGTTCTTAGCATCTGAAGTTAGACTGAGAAATGTTTAATTTCACAGTCTATAGCTTCGGTTATATACTAGTATATGAAACATATAAAGTAAAAGACATTAATGGTCGTTATAATGTAGTTCAAATGACTTATATAATAAAGTGATATCTCATTTGTAACCAGGCACTAAAGCGATTACCCATAAAACGTGCTTTGAACCAATCGGATTGCTTGGGTCCTAAGCTGGGACTCATCTCTACGGTGGGACTCACCTCTTCACCACACGGGAAAGGGCCTCATGAAGCCTCCGTAGCGCTTTTACTCTCTGACCCCTGGACCATTTGTAATTCATGATTCCATGATTCATGGTCTTTATTTAAAGGGGTACTTCACCACTGGCAAAATGAGCTTTCAATAAAGCTTAACTGATTATAAAGTAGAAAGGCAGAATTTTTTTTTTTTTTTTTTAATCAGTACTACCTGACTTGAGAAATGGAGAAAAAAGTCTGTAGTCTTCCCTTTTGCCAGATAGGTAGGAAAACTTCAACACCCATAATGCACAGGGGATGTTGCTGCCCAAGGCCACTCCCACCAGTCTGCTATGGATACACTTACCAGTCAAAATACCCCCTTGCTTTAGCAGGGTTGGTTCACAAAGATTGTGTCATTAATTACTCACCCTCATGTCGTTCCAAACCCGTAAGACTTTCATTCATCTTCGGAACACAAATGAAGATCTTTTTGATGAAATCTGAAAGCTTTCTGATCCCTCCATGGACAGCTATGCAACTACCAAGCCCCAGAAAGGTAGAAACATGAATTCAACATTTAACAAATAGTTAAACATTCAAAATGTAAAAATGTACAATCTACTAAATTTTACTGCAAAAATAGAATTATTCGAATTCAGCCAAGAGGTCATGCCGTGATGTATCCATCTTCTACTAGTCACACGTCTTCAAGTGATGCGAAAAACTTTTCGTAGCTTGCCGTTTGCGGTCTGACGCATTCACATGTGTATGAATGGAAGTCAAGGGAATGAAAAGTGAATGTGACCGGAAAAGGCCATTATATTACCTGCTTTCCATAATGATCATTTCAGACCAATCAACAAATTTGCAGTTTTTACTCCAGGATATTAGCCATAAAAACATATTAATACACAGATGGGAACATTGCAAATTCATTTTAATGTAGTTCATGTACAGTATATTACAGTAAAACTAACTCAGACATATTTCTGAATATCTTTTCTTTTTAAATCCCAGAGATGGTCAGTACAGTGCTATGTCGAAATAAACTAAATGTCAAGTAATGAGCTTTAATATTCATGTGAAATACCCTGACTTAAATAACTAAGTGATTTCGCCAGTCTTCTTTCTCTTTATTTTTTTCACAGGACAATAACGTTTGATGCCCCTTAATACCGTTATATACTAGTATATGAAACATATAAATTAAAAGACATTTAATGGTCGTTATAACGTAGTTCAAACGACTTATATAATAAAGTGATATCTGATTTGTAACCAGGCACTAAAGCGATTACCCATAAAACGTGCTTTGAACCAATCGGATTGCTTGGGTCCTAAGCTGGGACTCATCTCTACGGTAGGACTCATCTCTTCACCACACCGGAAAGGGCCTCATGAAGCCTCCATAGCGCTTGTCACGTGGTGCGTTCCAGCGGAAGTGGGTCATTCGATACTTCCCTTTGTTCTTTACATTGTTCCTGTTTTGAACATTGAGCGTGCCGCCCTGCCCTCGCTCCACCCGGATGCTTTCCTCCAACTCCTCTGGTTCCACCGGCTCCTCCTCCAGAGCGCCGTTAGTAAAGACTTTGACTGGTCGACGCTTGCGGCCCATGGGTTTACCCCAGCGGAAGTGCTCCATGGAGTAAGACCTCCTCTCGTCATTGCGAGGGCTTTCTCCATTGGGGTCTTGAAGCGCGATCGAGTCAGGAGACAGAGCAGATAAGAGCAGGCCCAAACTGAGACTCTCTTTCTCAACCTCTTCTTCACTGTTCGGCTGTTCAGATGAAGACACACTTCCGTAATTGGAGGATTCTTGCGCAGATCTGCACTGCCTGACACACTGCTGCACAGTACAAGAGGACATACACACATTAAACACGGATGCAAATTTTGGCAAAGGGATAGTTCACCAAAAAAAATTAATTAGCCCATGATTTACTCACCCTCAAGCCATTCTAGGTGTATATGACTTTCTTCTTTCAGACGAATACAATCTGAGTTATATAAAAAAAATGTCCTGGCTCTTCCAAGCTTTATAATGGCATTGAATGGCTGTTTCTGTTTTGAAGTCCATAAAAGTGCATCTATCCATCATAAAAGTGCATCTATTCATCATAAAAGAACTCCACACGGCTCCGGGGGGTTAATATAGGCCTTCTGAAGCGAAGCGATGCGTTTGTGTAAGAAAAATATTCATATTTAAAGGGATAGTTCACCCAAAAATGAAAATTCTGTCAGTAATTACTCGCACTCACGTCGTTACAACCCCGTAAGACTTTCGTTCATCTTCGGAACACAAATTAAGATATTTTTGATTAAATCTGAGAGCTGGATCACTCCTCCCTATAGGCTTCTATTGTAATTGAAACCTGCCGGTCCAGAAAGTTAATAAACACATCGGTAAAATAAACAAAAATAACGACTTTATTCAACTATTCGGTTTCTTCTATGTGGGCTTCAGAGTGAGTTAACGTAGTGTAACAGCGCAGCGCTACGTCAGAACGTAGGCTCACTATTGGCCGACGCTGGTCAAGAATGTGATGCTGGCCAATAGTGAGCCTACGTTCTGACGCCACTCACTTGGACTATTTTAACGATGTTTTTATTAACTTTCTGGACAGGCAGGTTTCAATTACATAGAAGCCTATGGAGGAGTGATCCAGCTCTCAGATTTAATAAAAAATATCTTAATTTGTGTTCCGAAGATGAACGAAAGTCTTACGGGGTTGGAACAACATGAGGGTGAGTAATTACTGACAGAATTTTCATTTTTGGGTGAACTAACCCTTTTAAAACTTTATAACTAGCTTCCAGCCAAATGAACGCACAGATTCGACTTAAGTCTAAGTGCAACTTATGCGAGTAATGCGACGTACTGCTGATATTTACGGCACGCCATGACATACTACGCTACTTCTGACGTCATAGGTTGCGCTTTAGGCATAAGTAGATTGCGTATGGCTGTTTGGCCGAAAGCTAGAATTTTACATTGTAACATGTTAAATATGAATATCTTTCTTACACAAACGCATCGCTTCGCTTCAGAAGGCCTTTATTAAGCCCCCAGAGCCGTGTAGGGCACTTTTATGATGGATAGATGCACTTTTATGATGGATAGATGCAATTTTATGATGGATAGATGCACTTTTATGATGGATAGATGCACTTTTATGATGGATAGATGCACTTTTATGATGGATAGATGCACTTTTATGATGCATAGATGCACTTTTATGATGGATAGATACAGTTTTATGGACTTCAAAACAGAAACAGCCATTCACTGCCATTATAAAGCTTGGAAGGATAAAGCCAGGATATTTTTTAATAACTCCGAATGTATTCGTCTGAAAGAAGAAAGTCATATACACCTAGGATGACTTGAGGGTGAGTAAATCATGGGCTAATTTAAATTTTTGGGTCAAATATTCCTTCAACAAACATTTACATTGTACAAAACTTAACAGATTATTAGTTTATGTGCATTCAAATTGTTTCTTTTGAATCTTTTCGTATGTATTCATTATACCATAATTGGGGGAATCTCATACAACTTGAGACTATATTGGAAAGAAAATATTAGAGTATAAAAAATAAAGTAAGTCTCATTACCCTACTCCTTTTTAAAAAATTATGATTTTTCATTTGTGTTCATGCATTCATTATTTAAAGTACACCTTTGATGCTGATTTATTTCAAATATATTGTGTTCATTTAGTTTTGTACTGTTAAAGTATAAAAGTAAAAATATGAGAATCACCATTGAGAATAATACAAATCAATTACACACACACACACACACACACACACACACACATATATATATATATATATAATATTTATTGAGCAGCAAATAAGCATATTAGAATGAATTCTGAAGGATCATGTGACACTGAAGACTTCAATGATGCTGAAAAATCAGCTTTGCATCACAGGAATAAATTGCATTTTAAAATATATTAAAACAGAAAAAAGTTATTTCACAAAGTTTTACTGTATTTTGAATCAAAGCAGCCTAGTGAGTGTCTATCTTTAAAGTGGTGTTATTAATGCCTTTAAATGCATCTTACCAATCTTTGCTCATTAGATTTAAGGCCCATGCAGTCTATCAAATCCAGGCAGCGGCCGTCTACATATGGGCTGTGAAAACACAAGACTGCTGCAGCCAAAAGCCAGGAAGGACAGAGCATCTGAAAACCAGGAACAAGACAAGATCTCATCAGTTCTTCCATCCCTCAGGTATCATTCGCATGACTCAGAATGGAAAGCTGAAAAGAAAATGGCTGAGACTGAGATAGATATATAGATATATATAAAGTCAAGGACGAGTTTCATTGCTCAGGTATTTATCTTGAATGGCCTTTGATTTGATTGTGCTGAATGGAGTCACTGAATCACAATGATGGCGTGTGGGAAGGTCGCATATGCTTAAGACAAACGGATGTCTTATTTATATATGACCAAAATGTTCTGTGATTGGTGACATTGACTTTGACTGTTCTGGGTGTTTAAAAGAAAGAAGAAAAATTAACTTACAGACTTATATCTACTCATTCATTTGTACCTGGTCTTTTATGGCTAACCGAGAGCTTTTTGGGATGACGTCACGGCACACACAAATCTGTGAGAAAGTGGTCCATTAATATCACACCACGACGTCAACAGCAGTGTTGTGTCAGGGATGAAAGGAAAGGAAAGGACATAAACCAGCTTCAGTTGGCAGATCCTTGCAATTTTGAGACTCGTTACTAAGATTGTCCATGAAGTCCACAAAAATTGGTTTTTGGAAAGGATGATGAGTCAGTTTTTGTCTGAAAACACTCCAGTTCAAAAGCCTCTTATGATCCTGTTATATATTACATTATTTCACAGGGGAAGAAAAAGGTCTGAATATTCTCTAGAAACCAGAAAAGTGGATCAAGTTATCGGAAAAAAAAAACATTTTTTGTTCATTACATTATTAGATATTGCTTGATGATTCACCTTGGTCAACCACATCCTCGCTTGCATGCCATCCACTTTGGGATCCACATCAAATTAATTTGAATAATTTTCATGTATGGTTATACAAATACTATATTTTGATATACTATAAAAAGGCATATCATAATAAATAGAATGATTAAATGTAATATATTACTTGTGTGTGTGTATATATAATTATATATATATATAAACATTTATTTAAAAATTGTATGTAAAAACAATTATTGAATTTAATAATGTTTTTGTCAATGAAATTCAACTGAGGAATAATAACTGAATAATAATCTTAATACATAATAATAATAATAATGTTAACACTTTACAATAAGGGTTTATAAGTTAACATTATTAACTACATTAGTTAACATGAACTAATAATGAACTGCTCTTCTACAGCATTTATTAATCTTTGTTCATTTCAACATTTACTAATACATTATTAAAATCAAAAGTTGTATTTGTTAACATTTTATTAATGTACTGTGAACTAACATGAACAAACTATGATGAGCTGTATTTTTATTAACTAACATCAACATTACGTAAAGTCTCTCCATTAATAATAATAATGACGTTATTTCCAATAAAATAAGTAATTCTCAAGAACATCATTAAATATTCAATCGTTTTTGTCTTTAATTTGAATGCATATTGTTTCATTTACTCTGTATCACATACCTCTAAAACAGATCAAAAACAAAATCGTAAAGTTTGGATTATGTTCTTTAACATTTAAAAAGATAATCATAAATGACACATTTTCTGTGACACTGTTCATAAATAAAGCTTTATAAGCAGTATTAAACAATGATTTAATCATACTAATTCCATATTCTTACCTTTCTAAATGTGTCGATGAGTTGAAGTTCTGAATCTTCTCTTCTTTGGGTCTCCAGCCCTTATCGAGCTCACCTCCACTGCTCTCGGTTAGCACTTTTCCCCCTGGCGTCTGTGAATGAATCTCTCTCTCTCTCTCTCTCTCTCTCTCTCTCTCTCTCTCTCTCTCTCTCTCTCTCTCTCTCTCTCTCTCTCTCTCTCTCTCTCTCTCTCTCTCTCTCTCTCTCTCTCTCTCTCTCTCTCTCTCTCTCTCTCTCTCTCTCTCTCTCTCTCTCTCTCTCTCGTTGTCTTATTTTCTGAATGAGCTCAGTTCTCTTATATACTCACAGGTGCATGGCAACCCCTGAAGGCTGGAAGATGATCAGGTGGGACTCTGCTGAGGTGAGTGAGGGGGTGGATGCACTGGGGAAATTACTTATAATAAAAACCTTTCCTACTTTTTACATTCCTATCTTTATACTTCTGTTTTTGACACATTAGGACATCCGCAGGACGTGGCAGGTGTTTTATGGATGCTGCGGTTCTGTGTATCCGTGCCTTTTGAGACACCTGGAAACCAATGGGACGCTGTTTTAGTCAAAATGAACTCTCAGATTGGACAGGAAATGAAGGTGAGAGATGACGTCATTTCACATCAAAGATTCCTTGTCAGCATCTAAGCAGCGTACAAATCGATCAGACTGACCAGATGTGCATTATCCAAGCCCAACAACTTTTCTAACTTAATTTCTCATCTCTTTGTTGTTTCTTTTCTCAATGAAGCCTATTTATGCCCCAAGGTTCATTAGCAGCGAATGTAATTACTATTGGAGGAAAGGTAATGTTGTGTTGTCGTGGTAACGCATGATAAATCAATTACTCCCTTTTCACTCTCATATGCTCACATTAGTACACCGAAAGAGGAGGAGGAGGAGGAGGAGGAGGAGGAGGAGGGAAAAAACGACTTAAGTGCAATTAAAAACATCATCTTAGCATAGTTTTTCAAGGTCTGGAAATACTCATTTAATAAATGAAGGATGATTATAAAGAGCTTTTAAGTACAAATGTAAACACAAACTTTTTATTGTTACTTGAAACAAAAGAAATGTTAACTAAAATTAAAATACGAAAAAAAATTCTCATTTTTGTTCAGTTTAATTTAAAGTACTTTAATAACAACAAAAAAAACTAAATAATTTAATTGTTAATAATAAACAATTATAAAAATATACAGACAAATTAAAATAAAAAACTAAAACAAATAACAAAAAAGTACATAAAATAAAAAGTACCGGTAATTCAAAATATTAACAAACACTATAATAGTATATAATATGATTCTGAAATTACACTGACATGTAGAGAATGTTTTGAATTTGAAATTTAATTATAAAACTTAATAGTCAAAAACACACATACATATATAGTTATATATAATATACTGTGTGTGTGTGTGTGTGTGTGTGTGTGTGCGTGTGCGTGTGCGTGTGTGTGGTTTAATAGAGACGAAGGTCAAAAAACAAAAATAAAACTTCTGTGGAATTCAGAAATTCATTAAAATTGCACTTATATTGAAACATAGGCATATACACTCACCGGCCACTTTATTAGGTACACCTGTCCAACTGCTCGTTAACACTTAATTTCTAAGCAGCCAATCACATGGCGGCAACTCAGTGCATTTAGGCATGTAGACATGGTCAAGACCATAGACATAATAAATACATAGACGCCCTATTGGCCGCTGGAGCGTACGTCAACGGCGCCGCCATGTTGGGGATGGCAACTTTCCCATACCTCTCATACCGGGAATTGAGAAAAATGCCTGTTTTGTGCGCTGCTGTTTGGGGCTGTACACATCGCCACACAATTGAAAACAGCTTTCGAGGAATTACCTTTCACAAGCAAGACTGAACGTTTGTTTTTGGTTGTATTTGGTCATGATTTAATTAGTAATAGTAACGTTCAGAGGATAAATTTAAAAATACTACTGTTATTGTGTCACGAAATGTAGTTTAAATAGTTTTTCAGTCGACAATGTAGTTGTTTAAAGCTCAAATATGTGGTTTGTTTATAAAGATAGCGCCTATTTAAAAATTTGATCTGACGTTTTCGGAGTTGTAAGATGCGCTCAGCGCTCGTCTACCCCGCCTGGAACAGCCGTACCTCGGCCAGTGCTTCTGAAGTTTTGCCGCTGACTCGGATGTCTGTAGTCTAGTGGTTAAACATGAGATATAATTCGTCTTGTGTATATCTAACGGGCGATCTTTGGTCTCATTAATCTATAAATGGTTCCCTGGTAAATCGTTTTGGCTGAGGGCAAAGTGAAGTTTCATAACTTTATATTTAGGCTATTTTAACGTTGTATCCTGCTGTATGTTTGACTGAAGCTACTTCTGTTATACTGATCAATAAAACTGAAATTTAACAAAAAGAGTTAAATATTAAAGTCACTATTTAACTTATTTTTTATTGTGTATATTCTGTAATTGAGATTTCTTATTCTATTGCTATTATTATAGTATTATTAATAAACTATGCTATTATCAATATTTTTATGATTGTATTATTGTACTTATGATATTATATAATTATACTAATCATTACTATTTTATTTGCTGTATACTATTTGTTTATTTTATTGACTAAACTATTTACTATTACTTCTCACTTTATGTTATATATACTTTTTGCATTGCACTATAGTTGTACCATAACCTATTATTATAAAGGATCCATCAGTTATCTTTGTTATTGCTAAAATCTGGTCAATCACAGAAAATGCTTTTTCCACAATAAGAAAACTTAAATTATATCTCAGTATGGGGGTCTTCACCATTCTTATCCAAGAATAAAAAGCCAGATACATGACAAGCCTGAGCTTTGACCATTCTTTATTAAAACAAAATATTTTACAAGTCTAACTATCGAGATTTTAAATAACTAGAGATGGAACCTTTTGTACACCACATACAAACCACTGAAATCGGTTGATAAATGTAAAAACAGTTTGTTTTTATCCAGAAAAAACGCAGCTCCCCCGTTTACTTACATTTGATTACAGTGCAGTCTTGCCCTCAGCAAAATGGCGGACCCGTTGACGTATCGCAGCAACGTTCCAAAGCGGCCAATAGGGCATCTATGTATTTATTATGTCTATGGTCAAGACAATCTCCTGCAGTTCAAACCGAGCATCAGTATGGGGAAGAAAGTTGATTTGAGTGACTTTGAACGTGGCATGATTGTTGGTGCCAGAAGGGCTGGTCTGAGTATTTCAGAAACTGCTAATCTACTGGGATTTTCACGCACAACCATCTCTAGGGTTTACAGAGAATGGTCCGAAAAAGAAAAAACATCCAGTGAGCGGCAGTTCTGTGGGCGGAAATGCCTTGTTGATGCCAGAGGTCAGAGGAGAATGGCCAGACTGGTTCGAGCTGATAGAAGGGCAACAGTGACTGAAATAACCACTCGTTACAACCGAGGTATGCAGCAAAGCATTTGTGAAGCCACAACACGCACAACCTTGAGGCGGATGGGCTACAACAGCAGAAGACTCCACCGGGTACCACTCATCTCCACTACAAATAGGAAAAAGAGGCTACAATTTGCAAGAGCTCACCAAAATTGAACAGTTGAAGACTGGAAAAATGTTGCCTGGTCTGATGAGTCTCGATTTCTGTTGAGACATTCAGATGTTAGAGTCAGAATTTGGCGTAAACAGAATGAGAACATGGAACCATCATGCCTTGTTACCACTGTGCAGGCTGGTGGTGGTGGTGTAATGGTGTGGGGGATGTTTTCCTGGCACACTTTAGGCCCCTTAGTGCCAATTGGGCATCGTTAAAATGCCACGGCCTACCTGAGCATTGTTTCTGACCATGTCCATCCCTTTATGGCCACCATGTACCCATCCTCTGATGGCTACTTCCACCATGTCACAAAGCTCTAATCATTTCAAATTGGTTTCTTGAACATGACAATGAGTTCACTGTACTAAAATGGCCTCCACAGTCACCAGATCTCAACCCAATAGAGCATCTTTGGGATGTGGTGGAACGGGAGATTCGCATCATGGATGTGCAGCCGACAAATCTGCGGCAACTGTGTGATGCCATCATGTCAATATGGACCAAACTCCCTGAGGAATGCTTCCAGCACCTTGTTGAATCTATGCCACGAAGAATTGAGGCAGTTCTGAAGGCAAAAGGGGGTCCAACCCGTTACTAGCATGGGGTACCTAATAAAGTGGCCGGTGAGTGTATGTATTATTGCACTTATTATGCTCATTGTTGTAAAGTCATTTTCATGTGACAGCTGTATTAGTATCAGTGATACTGGCCTTCATTCATAAAAAAATGCCATTAAACAAGTATTTTCAATATACTGTCTTTGTGTTGTTTCTGCATTCATTTGAAGATTAACCGTGTCATTCATTTCTTTACTTTTTAAATCATTAAAGGTTTTACAGCAAAAAGACCACAACCTGAGGGTCGTTTTTAGAATTATATATTAAATGGCCGTCTACATCCTAAAAAAGTATAAACTATCAATCAGAGGACAAAAGATCATCATGTTGATCATTTAGATGCCTTATAAATGTTATTAAATATAATACAGTATAGCTTTATAAGGTCAAGTATACTGATGGTGTACATTAAGTGTATTAATTGCTGATAAACATGTTTTGAATACACAATACCATCAATGCTTTTTCCTAGTAAAAAATAATTTGGCGTGTTAATTGTTTGTCCGTCTGATGTGATTGTTCAGACCTCAGCATATAGAGTAAGGATAGTCTGAGTTGCTGTTGTTCAGTGCCTGGATTGTCTCTCCTCCCTTTATTCTAATCAGGAATCCAATTACACCGGATTACAAGGATAAGATGCCCACTCTGCAACACATAGGGTGTAGAGAGAGAGAGAGAGAGAGAGAGAGAGAGAGAGAGAGAGAGAGAGAGAGAGAGAGAGAGAGAGAGAGAGGATGGCAGCATACGTCTATATTTCCTCAGAAGACAAACAAAACATCTCCAACTATTGAAGCAGGTAAAGATGAAGCCTTGTAACTGTTTCCCTGTAGAGCTTGCTTGCATTATCTCTGCCGATGACATCTTTTGTAAAATGTTGCCGCTGATCGTAACTGTGTCAGCAGAGCTTTAACAGCTCTCTAAATAGTTTGAGAAATCTCTCATGTGAGATGGTGTGAATCATGAGTCGTGGTGTCATGATAAATCAAATGCCCTCCAAACAAACATTTACTCTAAATTTACACTTGTAATCAAAATGTCACTTCAGATACGTATGATGCTTTATCAATATGATTCATTCTCAGTGTTATTCTTTTATTTATACTGCAGGACATGAGTTTAGTGGCTCTCAGGCATTGCTCTGTATGGTTTGGCATATTCAGCATTCCTCTGTTGGATCTAGTGCACTAGGCTTGGGTCAGAGCCACAAGGTGCTTTGGTAGACGTGATACTTTAGCATTAAAAGGTCTGCTTAAGGTGTTGGTAAGTATGGGTCAGCTCAAGGCATTTCCTGCACATTTTTCCTCCTGAGTTCACCTCCTGTGGTAGTATGACAGGAAAGATTGAATACATGTATGCATTGATTTTGTTTTTGTATATAGATTATATATGACTGTGCAACTAAGTTCCTTAGTGAAACAAAAGTTTGTTTTCTACAATGTATAGGCCTACATTTAGCATAGTAGCCCCATAATGTATTTGTATACTTAAAGCCACACTAAAAAATGGGCGAATTGTATTGCATATATAACAAAACATAAAATATAGCCTAAAACTTCAAATAGTAGCCCGGGCTTTTATTTTCCCAAATCGTCGAACTGGACCGGCTTGTATTTGAGACAGGTGTCTATATGAGACAGGCCTTTATAATTTAGTGCACTGTAAAACCTGATGAGTTAGTTCAACTCAAACCGTTTGAGGAAACCGATTGCCTTAAATCATTTAAGTTTATTAACTCAAACAATTTAAGCTTAAAAAAATATTTTATTTGTGTTCAAGTAACTCAATAACTTATTGTTAAGATAACTTGGGTAAATAAAGTTAATAGTACTAATTCCATTCAGTTAATATAACTTAAATCTATGAAGTACACTGTAAACCCAAATAAGTTGGCAGAACTCAAAATACTTTTATTAGTATAAACTTAGTTAGCTTTAAAAAGCTAATCTGCTAACATAGTAAATGCTAACATATTAGCAATAGTATGTTATACATAAACACTTGCTGTATGAGCACAGCAATATAAATGGTTATTTGCTCTCAAATCAAGCTGCATGCACCACTTGTCACCATGATGGTAACTATCCTAAAGCCAACATTAACAGAAATTCTTCTAAATTAGCATAACAAAACATGAATCACTACTAAATCTCACACATAACATTAATCTTACACACAAACTATATTACACTTAATTTGATCATTTACTCTCCCTTTCGAGTGCCATCGGCAAAGCATGCTGGGAAATAGACATCACAGCTGTTTCAGTTAAACTTAAGTTCGTCTAAATTAAAATAAATAATTTCATAAAACTCAAAACAATGAAACAGTTCAGTTTACTTAATATATATTAGTTCAGTGAACTTGAAAGAAAAAGAAAGTGCTAAATACTCATTAAAGTTAATTTGACTGAACTAATTTGTTTAATTTAAGTTTGTCCTACTCAAACCAATTAATTATTTTGAGCATTAGGGTTTACAGTGTGTTGAGATGTTGTTCATTGAGTGTATAATGTCTCTAATCTCTAAAAATCTCCAAATGCTCCACGTGAAACTGCGGTCTTCCGACCTTTTACTATCGCGTCAATTGATTTTGATTAATATGCGCGAGCGCGAGGGAGAGAGAGCAAGACAGCGCTCGTGTTGTTTGAAGATGGGGCATGCGCGCGCGCGGCCGGGGCGCTCTCTCTCTCTCTCTCTCTCTCTGCTCGTGAACGCGCCCTGTCAAGCGCAGCAGTCATTCTATTCTACATCACTCATCGATCAAAAAAGGCTTTGGAGGGACAAAAATGTGCTTTGGCGGCCGCCAAAAAGCGGGCGATCTGACGGTTTTAGAGGATAAAATACAACCCGAAACTAAAAAAAACAGACCCGGCCTCTATTTGAGACCGGCCTTTATTTACCCAAACCTGCAGCCACACCAGGCGTGTAAGAGACAGGCGTCTATTTGGGACTCGGCTATTATTTGAAGTTTTACGGTATACTCTCTACCCTTCGAAAGTTTGGGATTGGCAAGATTTTTTTATGTTTTTAAAAGAAATCTTTTATGCTCACCAAGGCTGCATGTATTTGATTAAAATAGGGTAAAAACAGGAATATTGTGAAATATTATTAAAATTTAAAATAACCATTTTCTATTTGAATATTATATCAAATCTAATTTATTCCTGTGATGCTACGCTGAATTTTCAGCGTCATTACTCCAGTCTTAATTGTCACATGATCCTTTAGAAATAAGAAATGTTTCTTGAGCAGCAAATCAGCATATTTGTATGATTTTGTATTGATTTGTCACATGATTTCTAAAATCATGTGACACTGAAGACTGCAGTAATGATGCTAAAAATCCAGCTTTGCTATTATTTGCCATTTTATAATAAGTAAAAAAATAATAAAATAAGACAGATAAAACAAAATGAGGTACAGGAAAGAATAAGGAAAAAGTATATTAAAAACTGACTTATGTAATAGTCATTATGTGGTACACCTAAACACCACAACAAATGCTTGCTGAGCATTTCATATTAATAGGGTGTTGGTCCTTGCTGACAGCTTCCACTCTTCAAAGAAAGGTTTATATGTTGACCAACTTGACCATGACTGTGGGGATTTGCTCTCATTCAGACTCAGACTCATCAGTGAGGTCAGGCGCTAATGTGGACTGATTCGAGAATTCAAAGTTCAGCCCTTGCGGCTTTGTGCAGTCAACTTATCCCACACCAGACAAAATCATTTTTAAGGACCTCACTGTGCACAGCATCAGTTTCAACATTTTTGAAATAAACTGCATTTGGTTTGATATTTAGTTATCTGATGCAATAACATGCAGACAGGCTTAGGCTTTTTTCAGGGCCATTGTACATGTTCAAGCTCTTTTTATTGAGAGTTTGACATATTTCTCTAAATGAAAGAGATAAGGGTGTTATAGTTTGAAACCAGACGCCTACTTCGCCTATTTTTAGCGTGCCCGTCCTCTTCGAGGTTAAATACTTTCACTGCTGCTGTGTTCTTGAACCCACATAAGCACATAAAAAAGTGACATGAAAGCACCATAACCTGTGCTTTAATCAGGACAACCAGGCTGACCTCTCATAATAGCAAGGACATGTTTAAAGATGTGTTTGTGGGATTTATTTCAAATACCACATTGAGATTTTATGACAGATCATGTACTTTTTTCCCCCTTAAGCCCAAACCCAAGATGGCCTCTTCAAAACTGTGTGATTTTTGACAGCTGACCTATAGTTCTCTGACAGGGGTGCATTGAGATGTCACAGCGTCAAGTGCTTAAAAAAAATGACCTATATGTTATCATAGACCGTATACATATCTGGCCAGACTTAGTTTTTCCAACTTTTTCGAGTGATTAAAACATTGTGTGGGTTGTATAACTTAATGCTTACAAATCTAAGCTTATAACCCAAAGTTATATTTCTTTGAACCCCAGAAGTGGTGAATCACTGTATCTTTATGCAATATAAAAAAGTTAATAAAAAAGTGGCTGCTAATAATAATTAGATTTTTTAAATTCAAAAGAAAATGTAACTGGTGCTTGCACATGGATTTGCTGCCATAAAATTGAAGTTGACCTAATGATTATTGCAAGATTTCTATGTCTGTGATATTCTTGTCTTTAACTTTATTGATACAATAAGCAGCGTTCAAATTTGTACAGTGCATGTCAGTTTATCTTGTTGCAGTTTATTTCAAAATTATTTTGTATCATGTGACTGTCAACAGTAATACATGTTTTGAAATATGATATATAATAATCATATAAAATAATTTAGAAATAATAAATATTAAAATATAACAAATATCAAAATAAATATATATTTTTTACAATATATATATATATATATATATATATATATATACTAATACAGCAAAAAATATTTATTTATTCAGTTAGTTAGTTACACTCACCGGCCACTTTATTAGGTACACCTTGCTAGTAGAGTTGGACACCCTTTTACCTCCAGAACTTCTTCATGCCACAGATTCAACAAGGTGCTGGAAACTTATCTCAGGGATTTTGGTCCATATTGAGATGCTAGCATCACCCAGTTGCTGCAGATTTGTCGGCTGGACATCCATGATGTGAATCTCCTGTTCCAGCACATCCCAAAGGTGCTCTACTGCATTAAGATCTGGTGGAGCCATTTGTGTTTAGTGAACTCATTGTCATGTTCAAGAAACCAGTTTAAGAAGATTTGAGCTTTGTGACATGGCGCGTTATCCTGCTGGAAATAGCCATCAGAAGAAGATGGGAACACTGTGGTCATAAAGAGATGGACATGGTCAGCACAGCAACAATAATCAGGTCAGCTGTGGTGTTTAAATGATGCTCAATTGGTACTAAGGGGCCCAAAGTTTACCATTACACCACCAGGAGCCTGAACCGCTGATATAAGGCAGGATGGATCCATGCTTTCATGTTGTTTACACCAAATTCTGACCCTCCCATCTGAATGTCACAGCAGAAATTGAGAGCCATCAGACCAAGGAACATTTTTCCAGTCTTCTATTTTCCAAAATTGAGCCAGTGTGAATTATAGCCTCAGTTTCCTGTTCTCAGCTGACAGGAGTGACACCGGTGTGTGTCTTCTGCTGCTGTAGCTCTTCTGCTTCCAAATTTGATGTGTTGTGCGTACAGAGATGCTCTTCTGCAGACTTCGGTTGTAACAAGTGGTTACTGTTTGTCTTTCTATCAGCTAAATACAGTCTGGCCATTCTCCTCTGACCTCTGGCATCAACATGGGATTTTCACCCACAGAACTACTGGATATTTTCTCTTTTTCTGACCATTCTCTGTAAACCCTAGAGATGGTTGTGCGTGAAAATCCCTGTAGATCAGCAGTTTATGAAAAACTCAGACCAGCCGATCTGGCACCAACAATCATGCCACGTTTAAAGTCACTTAAATCACATTTCGTCCCCATTCTGATGCCTAAACTTCAGCAGATCGTCTTGACCATGTCTACATGCCTAAATGAATTGGGTTGCTGCCATGTGAACAAGCAGTTGAACAGGTGTAATAAAGTGGCTGGTGAGTGTAGTTTAATGTTTCTGGTTTTGTTTTCAGGTGAATTGCATTGGAAAAGTTGACAACTGAGTCCTAGATCGTGTTCCTGTGTGACAAGCTCTTCCCAAGACTTGAGACTGGAGGTCAGAGAGCTTGTGCCCTGGCCTTCTCCCCCAGGGTCCTTCCAACAAGGTGGGAAGGGGGGTCAGCCGAAGCGATCACATGGAGGACAGGCTTCTCTCGCCCCTCTTGCTGGCCATATTGTTTTTGGCAACATGTGCGAGCGATGATGACCACTCACTGCACACACATCAGGTCAGTACGGCTCAGTGTGGCGAATACAGCAACCAGGTCCTGGAGGACGGCATGTGCCGAATCATGGCCACATTGCCCCAAATGGACGACCAGCGCTGCCCGGACATGTTCCGCTGTACGGATGAGGTTTCATACTGGCTTCATGAGAATGAGGAACGCAAACAGCAGATTCTAGCCCTGCGGGAGACAGTGTCCGAACTTCAGGAGGAGCTTCGCAACCACCGTCATCGAGTCAAAGTGTTAGAACTACAAGTGAGTCCAAGAATCTTTATATACATGTCATGATTAAAATGCGTCTAACTATCATTGGGACTGACTGATTCATCATAAGCTGTTGGAGAAATATTATAATTAGAAGATAAGATATTTATAATTATAAACAAATAATATTTATAATAAGAACAATTATAAATTACAATATAATTTACATTTAAATGATAAATTAATTGTTTAATTATAAATAATTATAATTTTGTGCATTAGTATCTGTTTTTTGTCCTTCAACTGCTCTTCATCAGAATTCATGGGTACAGCAAAGGAATACAAAAATCAGTATGACCTGTACCTGACTCAATGCCCTTAATAACCTGTGGGTCAAGCTTTTTCTGATTCCATGATTAAATTCGGACAAGTGGCCTGACCTGTTCCCGCTTGTTCTATTTAAAGGACTTCCCATCTAAACAGTAAGGCATGGTGTAAAGAGTATATCTAAAAAACATATTTGAGTAAAAGCAGAGAGACCTTACAGTGAAAATGACTCCATTACAATTCACCAATTCCAATATCACTTGAGTAAAAGTCATTTAGTATCTTATTACAACAATACTTATTTTACTTGTACTAAATGTAGGATCAAATATGTATAAGTTCTCCACACCTAAAATGCATGCCAGTGAAAAACAAGAAATAGTTTTTTGTTGAGGAGAGCAATCACTTATTTATTTTATGAAATTTTAATAAAACTGAAGACCTCAATACTGCAATTACAAGGTCAATACAACAGCCTCTTAAACGTCTAGTCTCAGTTAAGTTCAAGTGCTCAAAAACCAGTAACCTTCAAAAAGGTCTCTTCAATAGAACTGATAAATAGTAAATGAGGACAGCCATGTCCTCATCTCATATATGAAAGACCTGCGATTCAGCAACTACCTGTTAATGCACTCACTTTCGCGTAAAGTTGTTTGGGTGAGTAAAGTCAAAATGCACAAGATACAGTACCTTCAATGCCCTGTAGATGGCGATATTGCTTATTTTGTAGCAGAAATAAACTGCTGCAGAAAAAGTTAGGTACCATTAGGGGTGGGAATCTCTAGGCACCTCACGATTCGATTCGATTCCGATTCAGAGGGCTCCGATTTGATGCTAAAGCGATTATCTGAATCTTTTTTGTGTGTGTGTGTGACTATAAATACTTTGCTTTAAAAGTACAAAGTAATGACCCATAAAGAATTAACGTACAATAAATTTTATTAACATTGCAAAGAACCAACAGGAAAATAAATGTGTGCCTGAACTAGCAGCATACTTGTAGTAAATTAATAATATAACAACGACCGGTAGCCTACAGCCGAGTGTTTTTCCTCCTGGGTGGAAACGTGTCATATGGTTTCATCATGTTTCCGAAATATTTTAGTTTTATTCTATAAAGCTTACAAATAGTGTGGCTCTTGTCCAGCTCCTTTCCCCCTTCAACTTCATAGAAGCCAAAATATTTCCACACGTCAGCTTTTAACGCGGAGGGTGTTTGGATTTCGCGCTCAGCCATTGCGGCTCTGTTATGTGCACGCCACAGACGGTCTGGGCACTGCACTTCTGTCCTTCAGAGTTCTGTCTTTTGCGTTCCGTCAGTATTACGTTATTATAAATATATATAAAAAATGTTTTTTTTTTTTTTTTTGAAAATCGATTTTTGACATTTGTGAATCGATTCAGAATCGTCCTCGTCCGCATCGCGATGCATCTAAGAATCGATTTTTCCCCCCACCCCTAGGTACCATGCAAAATGCAACGAGTAATTGCATTAGTAATTATGAATGTATTGGAGTAAAGAGTACATACTTATTCAAAAAAGTAGTCAAGACATGCAGAGAGTAAAAGTTGCTAACATCTTTGATATATTAAAGTACAAAGTAGCAAAAAAGATACAATGTAACTTCTGGCCCCCTAGTGGTTAAAAAACTGCATGCATTTTAGTTTAAGATTATTGTTTTGGTTGTGCTGCGGCTCTGCGTGACTGTGCGGATGTATAAAACATTCAGTACTCGGCTTAAGAGATATAACCAGCTTATATGGAAATGATTTCAAGCTGACTAGCTGAAGACGTTACTGTAGCTTTACCCATTAATAGACACGGTACTTCCTAGAACAACAGCAACCATAATGAAATGAACCTTCACAATAGATAATGCTTTACAGTCAACTCTTTTAGAGAGCTACATATGGCAATTTATCTGTTCGATAAAATACCTCTCTCACCTGTTGAGTAATAATAACGCCATCTCCTCTTGGCTTTTACTACATTTTAAATCCCTCAGTCTTTGCCATCTCTGAAACACCAAACCACTGTTGATTCTTGTTTTATTACGAGCTCTGCCATGTTCTCTTTTTGCCAGCAGACTCTCCTCTGTTTGGCGTTTGTTTAAAACGTGATTCGCCGGAGGTTGGAGTTTTAGCTGCTCCATGTCAATCTTTCTCACTCGTTGTGACAACTAACCAATGCCGCTCCTACACCAGACACGCATCAGAGTAGCCGGAGCAACTTTTCTCTATTTACGGATATGACGAGACACACGGGCGAGTGACGCATGTACGCAATTTCCCACGAGAACCATCCCTTCGGGTCTAAAATATAAACTCTAATAATAGGCTTACCATAGTGAATCAGGGTAACACAAAAACACATTTTTGACTCAAATGAATTTTGTACATTTTGAACAAAAAAAGTTACAGTGTATCATTAAGTACAGTAACTAATAACATTTACACCACTGCAGTAAGGTACTTTCTGACTGACTTTTACGCGAGAGTTAAATCGGAAATGAATCATGCCACAACTATCGAACAGCATGCAACAAATGGTAGATTATACAAATAATGACAACAAAAGAAATCTGTCAAAAATGTAGTGTAGTCCAAAATAAGTACAGATTATTTTACTGACAAAACTCTGCGTGAAAAAGTTAGTAACTGTGATACAACTTAACTTTTTCATTACTGTGACAGTAGCTCAGCTGATTTCAAACATTATTCAAAACAAAAGCTGATTGCAATAATTTCCCCAATGATTCACACATTTTTGAATGTCCTGTTGTACTGTGGATGCACCTCTACTGCCTAGCGAGCTGCGGTAATCAAACCAACTTAAAGGGATACTCCACCCAAAAATGAAAATTCTGTCATCATTTACTCACCCTCAAGTTGTTGCAAACCTGTATGAGTTTCTTTCTTCTGCTGAACACAAAGGAAGATATTTTGAAGAACGATTGGAACTTTGACACCATTGACTACCATAGTATATATATTTTTTTTCTACTATGGAAGTCAATGGTGCCAAACAACTGTTTGGTTCCAATCGTTCTTCAAAATATCTTCCTTTGTGTTCAGCAGAAGAAAGAAACTCATACAGGTTTGCAACAACTTGAGGGTGAGTAAACGAGGACAGAATTTTCATTTTTGGGTGGAGTATCCCTTTAACTTTCGTCTCTCTCATGTGTAGCACTGGAACATCCTATGCAGTCCATGGAGTGCCATGTAAATACATGAATTTCAGTACATTTCAAAGTATCATTTAATACTGTTACCATGGTACCACTACAGTACTTTTTGTAAGTTCCTTGGACTACTATGTAAATACCATATTTACATAATGGTATATCATAACTGTTCAGTACCATGGTATACTTTAAATTACCATGGTATTACCATCTGATACCTTCGAGTGCTTCTGTCGCTCCGGCCAACTCGGCTTGACGTTTTCAGCCTAAAGTCTCCTTGACCCGAAGGCTAATGAGATTAACACAGGAGACCTTACCTCTCTCCACGTGCCTTCATTAGTATGCACCCTTAAGCTCTTCGTGCTGTTTAAATGAGGGGATGATTCACAGCTCACACTCACACGGCCTGATCCTGTCTGCCTCTCCCTCTCTGCTTTTCACTCCTGGCCTTTCATGCAAACACACACAATACGCTGCAGCCACTTGAGAAGGTCTCATTCTGCAAAGCTAATGGGAATTGTTCTTCACATCACTTTTTTTGATTACGATGTCGTGATGTTTGTCTGTTTGGCCTCTCACAGAGTGAAGAGAAGAACCGCAATAGTTCATCTATTGAGCAGCGCTTGCATGAGCTGGAAGATCATTACGCCGAGGCCACGACCCTGTTGCACATCCAGGGCTCCTTGATCTACGACCTCCAGGCCCAGATCCAAAACCTTTCCCTGCTGGTGGAAAAAGTCCGACGTAACCCTGGCTGCATGATCAACATAGTCCGCACCAGCCCTCTGCTCAGCGCTCAGGAAGCCCTGCATCCCGGTAGGCCACATCTGCGAATTTTGAAAAGCTACATTTTTAAGCTGTATGGTTATATCCTAACCAAATCAACCAGGACTAGCCATTGTTCTTATAAAGTTGCAGATAGTTCATAATATATTAAAAAAAAGAAGCAATTTTTTTCCTTTTAAAGGCGACTCAAACCTCAAGTTTATTATTTTTTTTTTTAATAACCCAGTGTATTAAACAATGGGATAAATGATGGACCAAACATAATTTAAAAAAATAGTTGTTTAACTTTATTTTTTGTTTAGTGTTATAGTGGGTTTTGGGCATGTGTCTCAATCACTCGTAGACAACCTTGATTATGTGCCTAAAACACATAAATCATAAAACACATCCATCACAATAAATGACACATTGCAATAGTTGTTACAATGTACTATTACACTGTTACATTGACCTCTGTGTAGAAGTTGGTGGGCCCTTGGCGATTTCTATCAAGGGGGAACTTCAAAATCAGGTGAATAGTATTATTATATAGTAATAAATCAACTAAGGCTACGTCCACATTAATCCCAAAAATTATTTCTGAGGATTTTAATCATTAAATTGTAGTGTTAGGTATCAGGTAACAAATGTTGTTCAGTGTTTTAAATTATATTTTTTACATTTGCAGTTAGATTAAAGTGTAGGACACTTGGCACAATAATAAAATGTATTTTAGAGTTAATTTTCATGCAAATTTGTGCTTATAATGTCCTGGTGATGAACAGCCTGTTTGAGTTTAAATCTATTTTTCAATAAATTGCCTACTCTCTATTTTTTTGTCTGTTGCTCCTGTTTCTTCTTTTGGCATTTTGAAGTAGTACTTACAACCCGGTTACGATCCACCAGCGCGAAATGCGAATACTTGTAATGTTTACCCCGGTCTAAAGATTTTGTTCAGGAGTGTATCTCTATTGTGTTTCGGAGATTAACCAATGTCTAATTGGTTTAGATCGACATGAGGGTGAGTAAATTATGACATTTTTGTCAGCTCGCCCAAAAAATATCAAGTTTTTGACTATAGAATCATACTGGCATGAACCAACAGATGGTGACAAATCATAGCACAGTTTATCAGACAGAATCCGAAGTTTAATAAGAACTGAAATCGCTCACATACAGTATATCAATGTTTTTGCTTATATGAATGTGTTGTATGTGTTTTTCACTCCAGAGGTGCAGCATGTCAGGAACTGCCCCATCGACTGCGCTTCCATCTACTATAATGGAGTGCGTCGTTCTGGGATCTACACTGTTGTGCCCTCACTGGGGGCCATGCCTGTGGAAGTCTACTGTGATATGGACACAGAGAGTACGAAACCACACAACACATGCAATCACGACTGTCCAGGACTAAACAATAAGGATGAGCCCAGTGCTTTGTGCCAGTTGATGCCGTTGGGCCAGTTTTTATGCCTTATAGCAAACCTATTTGAATTTCTGTGGCACACTGACGTATAAAGTTAATGCATTTTAATGATTATGCATAACTTTATATATAGCTATATTATATATATAGTTTTTGAATGTTAACGAAATTACTAAAAATTCAACTAAAATGATGCGCTTTTGTCATTTTATTAGCGTATAAAAAATATTGCTATTTAGGTTTATTTTTATTACAGTTTTCAGCATTTGTTTTTATTTATTTCCAGTAAAAAATTGTATTGCTTCAACTTAAACTTATTTCAATTCATTATTTCCAAGACAGGTTTTCTAATATCCATGTAGTTTAAGTCTTCAAATAATATTTATATTTTATTTTAGCTTTATTTTAATTAACAGTTTTTAGTAGTTTTAGTTAACGATAACCACCCTGATAAATACATTTGTTTTTTATGCTTGGACCAGTGAAAAAGTTCAAATCTGAACGTTTGCAGTTCACACCCACTGGACTATTAGAATATTTTTTGTTTTGCTAGAAATCTACTGTGGATGAATCATTGTTTTATTTTGACATTGTTTATTTGAAAATTTTGTGACTTTCCGTAGCAAATGAAATTCCGGTAATGAACATCTAAATGATTTCCCTTTTTATGTCTAATGAGACTTCAGTTTTGTGCTGAAATTGCACCAGTGGGGCATATGAGGAACCTCTCAGAGGCTTAAAATAGCATGTGCAATCTTTTTTTGATGACCTGCAAAACACTGTAGTATAATTTCTGTGGTCATAAGATGAAACCTAAATTATCTGGCGTGTCCATTAAACTCATAAAAAAAAAAAGATTTGATTGTTGAATGCTTGAACGTATACTCATTTGGCATTTTCTCCCCAATAGAAGCAATAATTTGATCATTCAAGCACATGCATAATGTATGTCTCAGGTGGCGGTTGGACTGTGATCCAGCGTAGGCAAGATGGCTCCGTGAACTTTGACCGCAGCTGGAAGGAGTATAAGGAAGGCTTTGGAGACCTGCACACCGAATACTGGCTGGGAAATGAGCACATACATGACCTGACCAGCCAGGGAGACTATATGCTCCGTATCGACCTGGAGGACTGGAGCGGGAAACACAAGCACGCTGTTTATCAGAAATTTAGGTGAGGCACATCAATCACTGACTGACTGGAAGGACTTCAAATGGATGTTCAATAGTGACTAAACATCTGGCCTGGTTACTAGAAACCCATCAAACCCTCGATGAATATCAGCATTGTGCTTGCGAGGAATCCATATTTTTTCTGTGCGTTTGTTTGCAGTGTGGAGGACGAGGCCACTCAGTACCGTGTGCATGTGACGGGCTTCAGCGGGACAGTGGAGGACTCCTTCAGCTGGTACCATGACAAGCAGGCCTTCAGCACACCCGACACGGGCAACATCTGTGCCGAGATCTCCCACTCCGGCTGGTGGTATAACCAGTGTTTCTACGCAAACCTCAATGGCATCTACTACAAGGTGTGATGTGGCCTATTGGTTAACTGTTAACCCAAAGGTTGTAGGTTTAAGCCCAGAAGTGTTAAATCATGAGCTGCTGCTGTTGTCTCTGAGCAAGACAATCGAATGCAATTGCATTTAAAACCTTGTTTTGATTGATTAACATTTTTTTATGGCTCTGTTATGAAATTGTGGAACACTTTTTATGTGTTTTGGCCATTCATTTACACGACAACAGCATTTTGGAGGCCTGAAAACGCTAAATCTGCGCATTCGTGAAAACTGTGACGTCGTGCGGATGTGTATTACGTGTTCAATCTTTAGGCGCGTGGGTTTTTTTTTTTTACAATACAGTGCTTTTGTTTTCGCAGATCTGTGACGACTTTGTCTTCTGTACGCGAAAAACGGGAGGAAATGAAAAACTTTTCACATATATAATAAATATATTATTTTGCTAGTTCATATCCAGGTCATTATTTTCAAAAACATTTAAAACTTGTCCAAACTTGTCTAATTTTCTATATATGTTTTGGAAACATGCTCACAAAAGTCTGCTCTGTGATATAATTTCCTGTTTTATGGAATTCTTGTCACATGAACAAGATGGCTTTTTGCAAAAAAAAAAAAAAGAATCTAAAGAGATAAATAATTCAAGATTAGTATGCTGGCATACGAACTCGGGACAATTAAACCAACTAGACATTTTTGACCTTACAAAAATCCCAAAATAAATTTTTATCAAGAAAATCATAATCATCATAAAAGATGTGCATTCAAGTGATTTTCTGAATAAATGCATAGATTTAAAAAGTGACAAAGTAACTTGTATAGACATCCTCACATTTGAAGCTAAAGGATCTTTGATGACGTCTAAGTGGTGTTCTGTCATCCTGATCGACAGGGCGGCCGCTACTCTCCGAAGGGGAAGAACCCTCTTGGTCCGGACGGTATCGTTTGGTACACCTGGAAAGATTCTGATTATTACTCTCTGAGGAAGGTCAGCATGATGATCCGACCCAAAACCTTCCGACAGCATCTGTCACCCTGAATCAGGCCCGACCAATGAGCTTGGCCTCATGATGTCAACCAGCCAATCACAGTTTTCAGAGCCACAGCGATGTAGGGATGCATGGATTCTTTCATGGTTATACAGTAAAAAAAAATATGTGTATGGACTGGTTCATTTCTCTGAATGTACTCAAAGGAGCCCATTTTTTGCAGCAGGTTTATACCAAAGAGTAGCCTAAAGACTAGTGAAGGACTGCTGCTGAAACAGTAAAGTCAGAGTTTGCCATTCAGTGAGCCTATGTGTTACATGCCTATATTTTATATACCCATGGTTTTAACATGTTGTTGACTTATTTTATAAATGTGTATTAAAGTAGATTTCCCTTTTTTCTCTCAAAACACACATGTAGGACTTTTTTTGTATTATACATTTACATTGCAAAATGAATTCTGTTCTAACTAATTAATAAACCACAAAATCACACAAAAAGGTCTTATTGGTGTGTAAAGCACATTCAGACAAACAACACGTTTAGAGACGGCCTCATTCATATTCTCCATAAACACACAGCTGACTCACGAGTCTCGGTCTCTAAACCTTGAGAGCCGATTCGCTGTTAACCAAGTCCTCACTTCGCTGATTTTCAACCCGCTTTGTATTGTTACAATGTCAGCAGTATGAACAATGTTTACTTTCGCTCCGTGTTTCGCCAAGACACCGGCGGACTTTGGCAGCTTCAGGTCTTTAGTGAAAACTGATTTTTGTATCCATCCCCACAGACATCAGATCGACAGAGGGTTATTAATTACGGAGCCACTAATGGACATGTTGGTGAAAAAAAAGTGCATTTTGAGAATTCTCTAGCCGTTGAGCGTACACCAGTTGTACACTCATTGCAGTGCATTATGGGATTGAATGAGTGCACCCGATAATGTCCACTATGTTTTCGGATACAACTACGAATGCCTGTCCCCTCAGATAATCCCCTATCTAAGCTATAGGTGGGAATTTCAGACTCTGTATGAGTGAGTGTCTGTCTAAAAATGAATGCTGTGTAAGTAAAGACAAAACAACTGCATTGCATACAAATCAGTATTTATTAAATCATAATCTCAATTGTTTTGTCATTCTGTGTGCAAAAGACTTGCAAACACTGCTATACATATAAAATATACGAACAACTGGAAAACATGCACCTGACGGAGTATAATTTCACTTTTACAGGATAAGAAAATGGTGATAATTGCACTGAGGTGGAAGCATCAAACGGAGCACCATCTCTGTTTGTAATTTGGCTTTGGGGAGAGAGATAAAGAACTAATGGCAATGTCTCTTATGGGGGAAAAAGGACCAGCCCTCCTGAAATTACCTCCAGGACCATCTAGTGAAAACGATTGGGTTGTTTTTGGCCAAATACAAACAGGATGATGCATCTTAAAGGCCATAGTAAAGTGCAGTGGATAAAAAGCATGTTGTTTTGAAGGGTCTATACAAAAGAAGGCACAATGAAACAAGGCTTAGCCTCATAGTTCAAACGATGGCACCAGTATATGTTCAGATCACTTGTATAAAAGTAGTACATTACATTATGTCTCTTTAAATGCATGTTCATATTTATCTTATATCAAAACTACAAGGGTCATAACAAAATGTGGAACATCCAAATTAACAACCAGACAATTATAATAATTAAAGCCCCCATATAATATGATTCTTTAGACAATCTGCAGCTGCTGTTAAAAAACTCTTGAGCTTGGCCAGTTTTCACGCAGTAGCATGCTTTCTGAGACACTATCTTTGGCCTGAGATCGAAAGGGTATTTTTATGGCACTGATATCATGACGCAAATAACAGGAATAGAAAAAACAGAGCAAGAATAATCATGTAAGAGAAACAGAAAATGAAGAGACACCGAGGCAGCTTCCGAACGGCCGCTCCACCGTTACATCGTAGTGAACCGACTGTGAGCGTGTCGTAGTTTCTCTGCAATCTGCCAAAACACACAGCATTTTAATGGCTTTTACAGAACGTCCATAATGTTTGGATATGTCACTTTTACTGTCATTTAGACACTTTACCATCTCATAGAATTTGACTTGCTCCTCCAGGTACTGCTGCATCACCCTGTTGTAGTCATAGATACGGTTGCTATGGAAGTGGTTCATCTCCGCTGCAAAGAGGACAGATGTGTTAAAGTCATCATGTAAAAGTTTCCAGCTGTGTGAATAAAGACTTGATCACAGACGCCTACAAACACCAGATAGTGTTGTGTGTTGGGTTGGGTTAACACTCTTTCTGTCCAATGAATTCACAGGATTTTCTTTCTTTTTAAATAAATTATTATTTTGTAGAAAAATACTAAAGCATATATCCAGACTGAGATTCACACAAACCCCAAATTACAACAGAGCTAAAAAAAATTACATTAGAGAAGAGAGAAATAATAATAATATACAATACTGTTCAAATGTTTTGGGTTATTACAATTTTTTGGAAAGAAAATTAATACTTACATTCAGCAAGGATGCATTAAATTGATCAAGTGTGACAGTAAAGCATTTATGATATTACAAAAGATTTCCATTTCAAATAAATTATGTTCTTTGTAACTTTCTATTCGTCAAAGGAAACCGATTCCCCCAAAAATATTAAACGTTTTTCAACATTGATAATAATAATAAATGTTTCTTGAGCAGTAAATCAGCATATTAGAATAATTTCTGAAGGATCATGTGACACTGAAGACTGATGGCAAAGCTGAATATTCAGCATCATTACTTCAAAAGGAATAAATTATATTTGACTACATATACAAATAGAAAATAGTTATTTTACATTGTAATAATATTTCTGTTTTTACTGTATTTTTGATCAGATAAATGAAGCCTTGGTGAGCATAAGAGAGTTACAGGATTTATTAAAATATAGGATTTTATACTGCATTTAACTGTGTATATAGTATAAAATATGTAACACATACAGTAAAATACAGTATAACAATCCATCCACCCATTTTCCACAATTGCAGGTAGTATAATAAAATACAATAAAAATGTTGTCCATACATTTGAACTATTCAATATACACTTTTCTGTATATGCACAAAGAAAAATGTCCTGGTCTGAAAATCACACTGCAGAAATTCCAATATTTCCAGGCCTGTAGAAACCCTGTAATTAACTAATAACTCTAGTTTATCTCTATTGAGACTGTTGTAAATTATAGTTTTGTTTCCAGCGTTCTAATATCGTGTTAAGTTGGAGAGTCATAATTACTCTAATTGTGACATGATGTTGTGAAAACCATTCACATCAAACGTGATTACCTACACCTCAGTTACTATATATACATATAAAGGTAGTTAGTGTCTAAATGATTTTTGGGGTCAGTGCAAGTAGGTCACAATACCTTGCAGAGCGTATGACATGGTGCTGGCACGTTTAGACATGGAGGTCTTATCTGAGGGGCTGATTTTACCGGCGGCCACTAGTTTATCGCCTTCCTTGACCTTCTCTATGGCAGCCTGTGCAAGAGAAAGACCCCCAAAAATGCAGTAAGCCGAATTAATTCTCCAATTTTCTGAGCTCCCATCCTCTTTTTATAGATTCAGTGGCTGTTCAAACACCTAGTGAGCTGCCTAAAAGGTCACTTACGCGATTCTATGATGGTCAGGATGCTCACTAGGTTATAATACAGTGTGTCTATTAGAATGAAAAGAGACATGGTGAGAGTAGTAGTTCTTTCATTTACCTTGTGAACTCCAATAGTGTCAGGAAAGCATCCCAGCAGACCTTTGTACTCATTGTTGGTTTCCATGAGGAAGTGAAGGTCTTTCCTAGGCTAGAAAGAGACAGACAAAACTAAATGATTAAAGCAGACAGCGCACAAACACACCCAGGGTCACTTCATTCAACCGCTCACGAAAGGTTTACGTCACTCGAACACGTGTGTATGCGCACACACGGATGCGCTCTTACTCAAACACGAATTGGAATTCAACTGGACAAAAACAACCATCAACTGTGGGAGAAAATAGCTAACTAAACCAATTAATTCCCTTACTCAACTAGACTCAAATAATCTTTAAGCAACAGGCAATTCATGTAAGAAATCAGCATTAAATGCAGGTGTAAAAAAGTTCACATTCAGAAACGCATATAACATTGCATTTGTAGTGTAAACACTAATACACTACAGGTAGTATCTGTCTGTTATTCAGCTGTATTTTTAAACGTAATATCTTTATAGACGCATTGGATCACATGAAGGGTTAACAGAGCTCTAAAAAATATTCAATGTTACACTGGCGCCACAGGACCACTTACCAGACGAGTCCTTCCAACAATCACAGTGTGGAGGCCAAACAACCACCAAGTTTTCATTCATTGCATTTTTCATTCATTGATACCGATGACGATGAATAGCACAAGGCTAAATGATTGTGGACGGGCCTGAGGCAGAGGCTGAACACTCACAACTACGGCTTTCTCCATCTATATAGCAGCTTTTAGGGTCCTGATCATCCTGTCTGGGTTTATTTTGAAATTACCGTACATATACTACTGTTCAAGAGTTTGGGGTCAGTACTATTTTTTTTTTATATAAAAGATTTGTATATTTATTCAGCAAGCATGCATTAAAGGGTTGGTTCACCCAAAAATGTAAATTCTGTCATCATTTACTCTCCTTCGTGCCGGTGAAAAAATCTGTAAGACTTTCATTCATCTTCAAAACACAAATGAAGATATTTTTTAATAACATCGGAGAGATTGTTGTCCCTCCATTGACAGTCCAGAGATATGTGAATAAAAGCTTAAAGGTGCAGTGTGTAGATTTTAGCGGCATCTAGCGGTTCGGTTGCGAGTTTGCACTAATGGCTCAGCCCACTGCTCACCCCTCCCTTTCGAAGAAGCTACGGTGGCTAAAACGGGACAAACATATCGTCGTCTGAGACAGCAGAGAATAGCCAGAGTAAGCCAAGTTTCTGTACAACAGTCCATTATAAACCACACCTGACTATGGCTTTGTAAACTTTATCCATGATGAGGATCAAGGGTCTTAATATAATAATAGTAATCAGCTGATTGTCTCACAAACGTAACCAGCACATTTCTCCCCACATAGCAAACCCATAATACAGCGAGGGAGAAGAACCACGTGAAACTATCCAACTACATATTTTTTCTAACAGGGTAGTAAAAGTTTAGCTGGCTAATATGAGCTGTTATGCTGTAGGGCTGTGGCTGAGCTGGTTAAAGCGTAAAGCATTGTTTATACTCGACGCGTCCGCATGAGCGCAAAGGTATATTCAATGTTCAATGCGCCTCCGCATCCCCTAGACACCATTTACTACACACAAATGAATAAATAATAATGAATACAAATATTGTTTTTTTTTCTCTGGTTTTGAAAACACGATCGACTTGTCGACCGCGATCGACAGGTTGGTGACTCCTGTAACGTTACTGTTTTACGGTCAAGAGTACTAATCAGCTGATTGTCAAAGCCATAACACAGCGAGGGAGAAGAACTAAGTTACATGAAACAATCCAACTACATATTGTACACCACTGACAAGGGAAAAGTCACTACTCACGGTGTCTATGGCTAGCTTCTAGCTTTCTGCTGCTTCTCTTTCAAGGTAGTGACGAAACGCGCTCTGTAGCGCTGTTTGTTCGCTGTCGGCTACGGTAGAAACATGACGTCACAATATGCCGACCTTCATAGAAGGGGGTGCCCGCGGTGATCTAGATATAAATGTCTCATTCTAAGGTAATAAAACATAACGGTTCATTGAGTAAGGTTTTTATAAACCACTGAACACATAGTTATGGATGTCATATTGCATTTCTGTCAATAGATCCTCAGAAATATTACACATTGCACCTTTAAATTAAATATGTTCATCATATAAAGCGATCAAGTCTCTTCAGAAAATGTGGTCTTGATTCATATCAGTTTTACGATGGAGGGACAGAAAGATCTTCATTTTTGTTCTGAAGATGAACGAAAGTCTTATGGGTTTGGAACGAAGGGGAGTAAATAATGACAATTTTGATTTTTGGGTGAACTAACCCTTTAAATTGATAATAAAGTCACTTATGTTACAAAAGATTTCAATTTCAAATAAATGCTGTTCTTCTAACCCTAACCCTATTCATCAAAGGATCCTTAAATGTATTGGTTTCCTCAAAAAGCTCAAATGTTTTCATGTTAGAATGATTTCTGAAGGATCATGTGACACTGAAGACTGGAGTAATGATGCTGAAAATTCAGCTTTGACATCACAGGAATACATTACATTTTAATCTATCTTGAAACAGAAAACCGTTATATTAAATTGTAACAATATTTCTTAATATTACGTTTCACTGTATTTTTAATCAAATAAATGCAGCCTTGGTGAGACTTCTTTTAAAAACTTTTTTAAAAATCTCACTGACTCCAAACTTCTGAATGGTAGTGTAATTTCTTGGTTACCAAGAATGTACAATACATAGACAGCTACATTTCCCCTATCACGTATGAGGTTAAGATATGGTTTAGAAACTTCCTGATATAAGAGAGAACTGAGATGTTCTACAGTGTTTTAATACCTGCTCTGCCACCATCTGAGCGATCTCCTCGTAGGTCTTCCCTGCTGCCGTCATCGCGTCTGTGAGCGCAGCCTCTCCTGTGGGTCAAACACAACCACACATTCAGGATAATAAAAAACTTACTAAAGGTTGAACATCTACTGTAACACAAAGACTGCTGGTTGAATCTCAAGCGAGGCGACAGTCCTGCTTCATCATCATATGGCGCTTTTCCACTGCATGGTTCGGAACGGCACGCTTTGGTGCTTTTCCACTGCATGGTACGGTACGGTACGGTACGGCTCGCTTTAAATGGTACCACCGCTGTCGAGGTTCCAAGCGTACCGTACCGATACTAAAATGTGACGTGAACACACTGCAGATCACTGATTGGTCAGACGGAATCGTCACTACCAGCGTCATTGTATTTGCGAGACATCAAACCCGCTAGATTTAAATACAGCCACCGCTGTAGCACCCGTATTAAAACTACTTGCTTGACTTACTTGAAGAAAAAAGAAAGAAAGAAAACTTCCAAAAATGAAATGGCTGAATCGTGATCAGTGGACGAAGTGCAGACGTTCCTCTCGTTGGTTGCCGAGGAGCGGATAAACTATAACGGTCAGACTATAATCCCACCCACTTTGAAGCGGTACTAACTGCAATGGAAAAGCAAACCGAGCTAAAGCGAACCGAGCCGTGCCTTGCTGAGCCGTACCAGAGACAATTTATATAGAGACATGCCACTTCCTCAATCCTCAATACAACTATATAGGGAAAACCCGTAACGCCAAAGATGGCGGTTGTATGCACATGCCCCGCCCCTCCCGCTGGAAAGCCAATCGTCTGCTTTTAACAGTCAAGCCGGGAAACATGTAAGCCTATCGTCTGGTTCCACTGACGTATGCGCACAGTGCAGTTCTGACTCTCTGCCCATTCATTTAGATAGGAGCCTGGTCTTGTTAGTCCGAAATAGCTGCCCGGAGGCGTTGCCAAGATGGCGGCCGAGTGGCATGACTTGCCTAAAAGGACTTTGGCCGTACCGAGCCGTACCAGCAGTGGAAAAGCGCCATTAGTGCCCTTGTCTAATCTTTCAGGAAGGCAATACCTGCAAATAATATACTACTTGTACAAAGTTGCTTGGTACAGAGGAAAAAAGAAGCTAAATAATATTAACAGGGAACAAGAAGGTGTTTGATAAAGTTTCTCAGAACTAGACCAGATGGTAAACAGAACATTTTTTACCTCATTGACTTACTTCAGTAAGAGGAATTGAATAGTGATACCTTGATATCCACTGCTGATGAACACGGACGACAGGTTTTGGAAAGCTTTGCCAATGCGTTGATATTCCTTTGGAAGGGCTGAGAAAAACAAGCATAACCGGAAATAAGTCTAATCAGCCTGATTATGAGATTTCATTTGTAGAGATTTTTATAAATCACAATACACTCCATCAGAATATAGTTTGGACATGAACAAAGTACAAAATATCAGAAACTGTCACTTTGTTGGAACCATATATATATATATATATATATACACACATTATATATTAGGGGTGTAGCAGTACACAAACATGACGGTTCGGTACGTACCTCGGTTTTTAAGTCACTGTTCGGTACGTGTTCGATACAGCAGGGGGGAGAAAACTAAACAAAATTGCTTCTTTATTTAAACTCTTTGTTTTTTTTAACAAATGTGTATATGTGTTTAAATAAATAGCTTAGTTAATTAATACATTCTATTATAATACATTTTCTCAGCTAATGCTGAAAAATATATGGGGAACCCTTAATTACACATTACTATAATATTAAAGGTTACAATTAACAACAGCGCCCAAATTATTAAATTCAGTTGGTATTTATTTTTAGGTTTAATAATCAACTGTCAAATAAAAAAAACGTACTGTAAATTGCACATAAGCCGGGTTTTGTATTAACTTCTAAATGTAATTTTCTACTACAATTCATTTCTGAAATATAACCATTTACATGTCAAGTGGCTGTCATAACTTGCTTTCATGACAAATGTATTTAAACATACATTAAATAAGCAAGACATTACTAACAGGTTAAGTAAATATAATGAATAGGCTAATATAGTGCAAATACAAAATGCTTCTGTCTAGAGTTAATTTCTCTAGCGAACTAACCTGCTGTCGACACTAAATGCCTGAGGTAAATGTAATGCTACATGAGATAATATTCTCAAGCTGTTTTATTGATATCTTTCCGCAGGTGAAACGCTGGTTGAGAGATGTAAACATAACGATCATTATCTTTTTTTCCCTGCGCTTTTTCCTGGTAGCAAACAGCGTTGCATTAATGCACGCGCCCCGTCTGGATTGAAGTGTGGATCGCCTGTGACTGAATGTATTCGTCGGGCGACTACATGCACCGAACCGTGACATCCTTCCTGTACGGTTCGGGACAAATACATGTAGCATTACACCCCTAATATAAATACTAATTTAATGCATCTTTGCTGAATAAAAGTATTAATTTCTTTAAGAAAAAAATATTTCATACAGAGTGCAACTTTAAGTGTCATAACGAGCGATACTCACGGCCTGTGCAGCGTTTCCAGTGTTCATTTCCTATGGTCAGCAAGTCTTTCACACCGTCGTCCATCGTCTTGGTGAAACGGTTGAACTGCTCACATTTCTGCTCTCTGATGGCAACAAGACAACACAGATGAGCAATGATCCCTCCAATTTTTTTTCTTGCTGAGCAAAACTTTTTTCTATTGGGCGGACATTTTTCGCCACCTGAGCAAAAATATTCTTTATACCTGACCTGTACAGCATAGAAACACAATGGTTTCAACATTCAGTTGTAACTTAACTTGAATGTGCCATTTCTATTTTATTTGACCCTTGATGTAACTTATTGCTATTAAATCATATTTTCGAAAAACAAGCAGTTAATTAAGAAGTCACTAAATGAAGCACATTTTAGGTTACCTGAGATTTTTTTTTACAGTGCTGTTAACTGTACAGTCTTCACCAAGAAATCCTATGAAAAATAATTGACAAAATCTTCTGCAGGACAGTTCAATTCTTTACAATAATAGAATATAGTATGAAAGAAAAGTAGGCTGTTACACTGAGATGGTTTGGGAAAACCATAAAGTGTTTTTGTACAGTCAATTAATTGTGTACAGGAAGCATTAAACCATCAAAGTTAAATGATTGTTTATTGCTTATGAATTTCCAATATTTTCTTTAGCAGGGGGTTTCAAACCTTTTAATGGCAAGGAGCCCTAAACAATACCCTTGTGAGATTCTTTATTTAGGCTTATAATACAATAAAATATAGGCCTAATATAACCTTAACAATACCCTTGTGAGATTCTTTATTTAGGTTTATAATATAATAAAATATAGGCCTAATATAATATAATATAAAAAAACGAATTGAAGTATTTGAAGTGATATAATATATCAGTTTAAATTCTTCAATTTGTTTACATATTACAGTATATTATTATAATATGAAAACAAACTGAAGCATTTAAATAGATCTAATAGCTAAATATTTTCAAGAAAAGTGAATGTGAACTCTTTTATAATCTAACCATGCCTGAAACTCCCCCACACACAAAAACATCTATTTAAACTAATGATGTATTTTGAGTTTGCACGCAGGTGGGTGTGTAAATGTTACCGTTCTGTGTCCATCAACCGTTATTTCCACCACTTTAATCAAACCGCTCTTCTTTAAAACATTATGATGTGATTTTATTTCACGTCTTTGCGTTTCTCGTTGCCATTCGTATTGAGCTATTTGGTCCGCACACACACACTCACTGCCAATTACATGCGCTCACATCGTTCTCTTTCTATGAAACCTGTAAACTGCATTCACCAGTTTTCACTCTATAGCGGTTGACCAGAGCACTGAAATTATTTCTCACTTAAACTACAATCAAATGGATTTCCCCACACATTTCGCATCAGTCCTCTGAGTGGCATTTTATTCTTTTCTGCGCGGCCGCCGCTTCAGAAGTGCGCAGCGGAGGCATCAGAAGTGCGCAGCGGAGGCATCAGAAGTGCGCAGCCGAGGCATCAGAAGTGCGCAGCCGAGGCATCAGAAGTGCGCAGCCGAGGCATCAGAAGTGCGCAGCGGAGGCATCAGAAGTGCGCAGCCGAGGCATCAGAAGTGCGCAGCCGAGGCATCAGAAGTGCGCAGCCGAGGCATCAGAAGTGCGCAGCCGAGGCATCAGAAGTGCGCAGCCGAGGCATCAGAAGTGCGCAGCCGAGGCATCAGAAGTGCGCAGCCGAGGCATCAGAAGTGCGCAGCCGAGGCATCAGAAGTGCGCAGCCGAGGCATCAGAAGTGCGCAGCCGAGGCATCAGAGGTGCGCAGCCGAGGCATCAGAAGTGCGCAGCCGAGGCATCAGAAGTGCGCAGCCGAGGCATCAGAAGTGCGCAGCCGAGGCATCAGAGGTGAGCAGCCGAGGCATCAGAAGTGCGCAGCCGAGGCATCAGAAGTGCGCAGCCGAGGCATCAGAAGTGCGCAGCCGAGGCATCAGAAGTGCGCAGCCGAGGCATCAGAAGTGCGCAGCCGAGGCATCAGAAGTGCGCAGCCGAGGCATCAGAAGTGCGCAGCCGAGGCATCAGAAGTGCGCAGCCGAGGCATCAGAAGTGCGCAGCCGAGGCATCAGAAGTGCGCAGCCGAGGCATCAGAAGTGCGCAGCCGAGGCATCAGAAGTGCGCGGCCGCGCACGCGCGCAGCTTTGAGGGAACATTGCAGATGAGCATCTCCATCAAGAAGTTGCTCATTATTAGCTGGAAGACAATCTCAGACAAGCACCAAATCAGCTTCTGGTTGATCATATCAGCTTGAGTTTGTCAAACTTCCAATAGATCAAGCTAATGGACCAGCTAGAAGCCATCTTAAAGTGTGTATGTCTTTTTTTTTAGATATATTAAATAAGGGTTAGATCTCTGAGTGAAAATGTAATTATCATTAAAATGATTAATGTAATTGCCCTACAGTAAGCTTTATAGCCATTTCTGTCAAGATCATATTTTTAAAACACAGCTGAGCTGTGACGTCAAAAGTTCTATTCAAGTATGGAGAGTTTTGAGTCTAAGGAGATCCAAAATCCCCCTCAAACCTACGATGGCCCACAGCCATACAATTTTGACCCTCCCAGGCGTGAGACAGATGAGGAGCCAAACAGAAATTTAAATAATTCCTATCGAAGAAACAAACATAAATATCTGGTGTGAAGAGAACCAGTGGAGTTGGTCAGGTGTCTTGGTAAGTAGGGTATAGGCATAACTTAAGAGGTGGAATGGTACATGTATTCGTATTGAACCGAAATGGTACGGGCATCACGGTTCGGTGCATGAATATACACGGAGAATACACGGTATAAAAATAAATAAAACTCGCGTGCAAATTAATTATTGCGGGTTATTTAGGGACACCTAATCTGTAGCTCCGCCTTAGCTCTGAAGCTCCGTGGGTATAATGAACAGGCTGCGATGTCAAGATTGCAATGCTGGAATATGTGTGTGTGTGAGTGTGTGAGAGAGAGAGTGAGAGAGTGAGAGAGTGAGAGAGAGAGTGAGAGAGTGAGAGAGTGAGAGAGAGAGTGAGAGAGTGAGAGAGTGAGAGAGAGAGTGAGAGAGTGAGAGAGTGAGAGAGAGAGAGAGAGAGAGAGAGAGAGAGAGAGAGAGAGAGAGAGAGAGAGAGAGAGAGAGAGAGAGAGAGAGAGAGCGCGGGTGCGATCAAACAGTGGAAACATAAAAACTGGAAGAAATGGGCGCTGCAAATGACCGAGGTCTTGGATACCGAAGCAGCACTGAAGTCAGCGCGTTTGGTCCGAACAAAGTTGACCCAGGCACGGAACACAGACCTGCTTTTTGGGGAAAAGTGGACTCTGTGACCGGTTTTAACGGTGTTTTTGCACCCAGCACAAACTCAGTAATTCACCATCGTGAAAATACGCCTGCGTATACCTAACTAACTACCTAACTTAAATAGCTAACTAAATAAATAAATGTCCTAATCACTAATTCTCTCGCTCTATCACTCGTACAATTATCAACACAGCTCACAAACTCACTTTCTCAACGACCTGGGGAGACGTCTCCCTCTTATGACGTCAAGCGATTCGTTTGGGGGAAGGAGCAGTTTTAAGTGAGTACTGAAATAAATAACTTTTATATTCTGCCTTTAGGTATCGAAAAACATACAAAACAATACATCAACTTTTCAAAAGTGTATTTCCTAGGGCTGTTTTCGACTAAGGATTTTCATAGTCGAATCTGATTCGTTAGATTTTGCCGTAGTCGACTGATAGTCGAACCTTTTTTTTTTTTTTTTTTTGATAGCAGCTAGACGTTCGGTTGAATAACTGTTCGTCTGTTATAGGACAACTCGCTCTACGTTTATTTAAAATGAACAGCAAGACAACTAGAAGTGAATGTGCTTTCCATTAAATGAATCCTTAACAAAAAAAAAAAAAAACGTTGCAATGAACGTGCTTTTTAGATAGCAGCTAGACGTTCGGTTGAATAACTGTTCATCTGTTATAGGACAACTCGCTCTACGTTTATTTAAAATGAACAGCAAGACAACTATAGAAGTGAATGTGCTTTCCATTAAATGAATCCTTAACAAAAAAAAAAAACGTTGCAATGAACGTGCTTTGTTTTAAATAAATCACACACAGTAAACAAAACCTTAACAAAAAAACTTTGCAATGAACTTTGCAATTTAGACGCGCAAACTGCGAGCCGGTGCGGTGAGACGTAGCCTACATGCTCGGGCAGATTCGGCTTGAAGTCGTTCATCCTCGGATGCGGCGTCGCGCGCGCTATTACAAAAAAGCTGTGCACACAGCTAAGCGAAATGGGGTCTTGCCGGTCTTGCGCACCCAACGCGTCATTTTTTGCCGTGCGCACCTTCGCGCTCGTGCGGACGCGTCAAGTATAAACCATAGGTATAAACAAGGCTTTAGCCTACTCCGTGTCAGCGCGCGCTCTGATCGGTAAGGTGCACAGACCTCTCCCGAATCATCTCCAGCAGTATAGCCTCTGAAGCACCACTAACTCCGCCTCCGTTTCCCTCGTGAGATGATATTAGTATTTAAACATTCTCTATGATAAAGTATGTTTACAAACAAACAAATAAATGTTTGTAAAAAATATTTGAATAGCACGGTTTTGGCGGTTATAGAGTATAATGACGGTGTTCAACTATAACCGTCGGTCTCACAGTTATATAATAACCGTCACACCCCTATTGGTTACGTAACATAACACTTCCCTACTATTCGACTATGAGGTTCACAGTCGAATCAGACCTCTCCGAATCGAATCGTCGAATCCTCGACTATTAGAAGTCAGCCCTAGTATTTCCCCTAACTATTTTGTGTTAATCATAATTACAAATTTAACCTGACATACACACTTTAAGCTGGATTTTCCATCAGTGAAGTGATCCTAAGGTGGGCTGTAAGACTTACACTTCAACCATGTCAAGGTCTGGCAGTCCCTCAGGCTCTATCGTGGAGAAGACCATGACTCCGACAGTCTCGTCTTTTTCTGCTTTTCTCTTTCCCGTTTTCCAGTCCTGTAATACAGATGTGTAATGAAATAATGCAACAACAACGGCTTCGTCTCAAAACCTACTAAGCAACAAATTCAGATTAAAGATGGAAACACATTTACCTTCTCATCTTTGTAGGAGAGAAACAGCTGGAAGACGTCACTGCAGGAGACAACCGGATGCCGGCACATTCGCGACATCCAAGCCTGAAGCCTCTCCATACGCATTTTTATAAACTCTTCCTCAAATCTGCCTAAAAAAGGGGGCATTAATCAACCTCGTTTTAATTTTAAACTTCTTTACAGGGAACAATGGGTAATGAAAAGTGCTCACCTGTCACCTGTTTATCAGGCAAGCAGGGGATTGGAATCGCCGACCCAAATTTATCCAAAAGCCTTTCATATAACCAATCGAAGTGCTTGTATCTGTGATTGACAGGCTTGTTTGTGGTCTGCAAAAGGATGGCATGAGACAACATCAGCTGGAATGAAGTTATTCATTTAAACATGAATGTTTCTGTACTTACGGTAGGCGTGACTTGGTACTCGATATAACTCTTGAGGCCGTACATTTTGGTGCCCTTTTTAGGGTCAGCGACAACACAGTCCAGCTGATAGTCTGGATACGCCCACACTGGCCCAACTTCTCCAATCTGAAATACAGTATGTATACATATTCAAGTCAGATATGTACTTTACAGAATACGATACAGTATAAACAAGCCTTGATGAAGTCGTGAATACCATTTTAGAACTATTTTAGTAGCAAGTTTAAAAAAAAAAGTTTAAAAAAAGCATTATCAATCAAAGAAACAATACCATAAATGGCACATTAAATGAGTGACTTACATAAATGGGCAACTTGGTTCCTTTAGCGGCTTGTTTGGACAGCAGGTACAACTCAGGACCTGATTTGGAGAAGCCAGGGAATCTGCAAAGAGAAGATGGGGCTTACAAAGGACAAAGCATGAAATGATCAAAAAATATAATTGCTAAATTAATAAACCAGTTATTGGAATCTAGAAAGCATACAAGAAAACTGTGAAAAAGGACATCAACTGGAAAACATGTTATACAGTACGATTTTTAAATAAAATAGCAGTGAAAAGTGTTGGGAGTAACACATTACAAGTAACATGCATTATATAATCAGATTACTTTTTGATGTGTCGAGTAAGGCAACTCGTTACTTTATAAATTTTACACAATATTAGAGTTACTTTAACAAAAAAGGACTGCACGTTACTTTACAGTTTAATTAATTTGCTTAAACATCTTCCATGCGTGTGCAGGAACAGACAGAAAGTACAAAAGTAACCAAACACATTACTTTTAACCAAGTAACGCAATTAGTTACTTTTTTAGGTAGTACCGCAATATTGTAACGTAAGGCATTACTTTTAAAAGTAATTTTCCCCAACACTGATAAATGGACAATGTACATTTACTTTTTTGAGTATATTAATCAAACTTAAAAATAAATATGGTGTAAAATAAGTGTATTTGAGCAGTTTCGTGTGGATCTTGTTTGCTTTATTATGTGTATTATTATGTGACTCTTGGATGTGTGTCCAATCTGTGTGGCGCAATCATCTGACTTACTTATTGAGGGCAATTTTCATGGATGAACCATGAGCTCCACCTCTGTTCATAGCGCCACCTTCTCCAGCCTCAGATTCAGCATAACCACCCGATGACTTTACATCATCCCACTCCTCGTCCCATTCATCGTCTTCTGCACCTATAAACAGTCATTAGACGCACTTCAAAACATACTTCAAACTAAAAAGCACTATGAGAACCAGGTGTTAGTAAGCCAAACCCAAGTGTCAGGACAAATCAGACATGCTAACTAACCTTTGACAAAGCTTTATTGGTCTAGTAGTAGAAATGATGCCACAGCTGTAAATAATATTCAACAATATTATTGATCTGACTGTACTGACACTGTTGTATGAGAACTGAACTGAGTTGGATGATGATTTTTTCCAGACCTGCTTTATAGATGAAATTAATTTAATAATCTTTACAACGGAACTGAATCAACACTGAACTGACTTCATCTGAACAAAAGCCCGAAATGCATCATTTTTCCTGTTTATCACTTTAAAGCTGATTTAAAACAATTTGTTTTGTATAAAGCGCTATATAAATAAAAGTGACTTGACTTAATTTGTGCAAAAACGAATTTATTCATTTTCACACAAAAAACATTTCAATATGTTAGTTCGCCACACTGGGGACTCTAGTTAAAGAATACACAACACAATTCACAGCAAGAAAAACCCTTAAAAACAAACACTCTCATACACATACACAACTGTTGAGCTCATGCAGCTTGTTATTAACACCCACATCAAAGTCCTTACATGAATTTCATGATTTACCTGAGAGGTCAATAAGACATGGGTAGGGGTAAATATCTTCAGAAAAGAATGAAAAGATGATTTGTTATAATAAAATAAATCTTTTAAGCTTGTTTTTCATAACAAATATCAGTTCTACATATTCTAAAGTGCACTAATGTGCATTCCATTTAAAACTATTAAACGGATTGTGCAAGTAAAAATCAAACCATATTTAATTCCTCGATTTTTGTGAGTGGACAAGTAATTCGGTGATAAATCAGTTTTCATGGGAAACCCTCTCCAAAACAAATCTCCACACAAATCTAAAAGATTCATTTTACAGCATGGAAAAGTTGAATTTCAGCTCCTTATGACTCCAAAATGAAACATTTGATCTTCCAGAGATGACATCACTGGCAAACTTTAGCCTAACACATGACTCAAAGTCATAAATTAAATCACGAAACCACGGCCACATTTTCCACAACTAGTTGTAAACAACTTTCATACTTTCATATAAAACAATGCATACTGAATACTACATATTCCACAAAGCAACTTGGCTTTCCATTTCTAGTGTCGCATGAACCTAAAGTAATATCAGCGATTTTTAACATCTTTTGTGCGTCTTTATATGATCTGACTGCCAAGAGTAAAGAAGGTTTTACACAAAACGTTTTGTTCATTAGTCCATATTATGCAATTTAAACATAATAATACACAGTAAATTCTGCACAGTATGTTAATGTTCCATTAATCCATTCTTCCTCTCTTGTAAGTTGTTTGGGTTATAAAGAATCAGCCACGAACATCCATGTATCACAATATACAGTACTTTGGCTAGAGCCTTCCTGTTTTATAAATATGCTGGACTGAAACCCTTAAAGAGGAATGTAACAGCTCCCAGGGAGGAATAAACATTATGGTAAGTATTTGTGCCTTGTGGCTGTGGTGTTCAGTTTTCCATTTAGTAAATAATCAACAGGACAAAATCATAGAAAGAGACAATGAAATCATTGCAAATTATTACTTACAATATATAAGACATATTTGTGAACCAGTTTAACTGATTCATTAACATAAACCCATTCAAGAAAATGATTTGCTCATGATTCAGACATCACAACAGCTTGTGCTTACAAGTTTTACTCTTCACAAGAGTGAAATTTTGGATACATCATAACTAGAAAAATGTGAACCCTGAACATCACAGGCTAGCTAAACAGATCATATCATATTCCTTTGAATACTTTGGATTTTTTCCCCTATTTTAGTCATATTCAGGTTGGAGCTGTGGCCTAACAGTTGGAGCACACACACACAGTCCGGGCCTGTTGTTGAGTATTGGCACTCTTGCAGGACACACCGGTTCAATTCTCTCCCAATTGTATGTCCTCCTGTCTGTATCCTCCAGAATCCCCCAAATACACAGGAAAAGAATCACATTCTGTTTATGTTCTAGTTGCAGTTGTTTAGACCAGTGATAGGTCTTAACCACTAAGGGGCCTAAGCAAACTTCCAAGTACGACTTGATTTAAAATAAGAAAAAACAACGTTTTTGAAAACGATACAATTATCGTCTCCGTGATGATGCAGACAGAGCCGATCCTAACCTCCCTGGGGCCCTAAGCAAAATTCTGTTAAGGAGCCCTCCTACCTGACCCAGGAGCCATATAAACCATTTGCCATTGCCACACAGTCACCTGACGCCCCAGTGCTCCCACTACATTCCTCCCTCCCTCCTAGTTCTAATGAAAATGTAATTCCTGATATCAGAAATATAATTTTTTACTATAAAAAAGTACATTCTTAATATCAAGAATTCACATTTTAAACAGTACAAATTTAATTATTGATATCAAAAATGCATCCTGTGAATGAATAAAAGCTAAAATGGCTTGCCATAGCATGTCACTGTATTTTAAACTATAAAAACAATACTTGATACTTGATGGTTTTTATTTACTGAGGGATGTGCATCCATATTGACCAGTGTGTCCCGCCAATCAACATTTTAAACGCAATATAGCCTATAAATCAATAGTCAATGTCAATGCATTGCTTTCCATCTTGCTTTATTGCAGAGTTGTAACTAAACTGACATTGTCTTGTTTTAAAAGTATGTGCATCTATAATGAGGAGTGCCATCCCGCCCATTAGGGATGCACCGATACCACTTTTTAAGGATCGAGTACCGATATTTTTTTCCTGGTGCTCGCCGATACCGATGCCTGTTGTACTCGTTTTATGTGGCAATTTTCTAAGAACAACACAATGACACTAATGAACACATCAGCATCTTTATTTTAACAACTTAAATAAACTTAAAAAAATAAATCATTCTTATGTACTTATCACAAATGTTCAAAGCCCAAATTTCACAGTGTCCAATAACCTCCAAAGGGCAAAACCAAGGACATAATGAATGTAATATTTACCTGCCTGTCACAAAGTTGACAAAGTGCTAAAGAAATCACAGACATCAAATTTGTCATAAAGTGCCAAAGAAATCACAGAACAAATGTTTATAACATAACACTGAGTAACAATGTAATCACAGCCGAAAGTGTAAAGTGAAATATTAGAGTGTACTATTAAATCTAGCTACACTAGATTTACGTTCTGTCAGTTACGTCACCTGAGGTATCGGTCTTTGGTATCGGGGTATTTTTACGAGTACGAGTACAAGTACATGAGCTTGGTATCGGGCCCGATACCGGTATCGGTGCATCCCTACCGCTAGGGGTGTGACGGTTATTATATAACCGTGAGACCGACGGTTATAGTTAAACACCGTCATTAGAACTCTATAACCGCCAAAACCGTGCTATTAAAATATTTTTTACAAACATTTTTTATCATAGAGAATGTTTAAATACTAATATCAGCTTACGAGGGAAACGGAGGCGGAGTTAGTGGTGCGTCGGAGGCTGAGTGCTGGAGATGATTCGGGAGAGGTCTGTCCCCCTTTACCGATCAGAGCGCGCGCTGACACGGTTAAGCCTTGTTTATACTCGACGCGTCCGCACGGCAAAAAATGACGCGCTGGGTGCGCAAGACCGGCAAGACTTCATTTCGCTTGGCTGTGTGCACGGCTTTTTTTGTAACAGCGCGCGCGACGCCGCGTCCGAGGATGACCGACTTCAAGCCGAATCTGCCCGAGCATGTATGTCTCACCGCACCGGCACGCAGTTTGCGCGTCTAAATTGCAAAGTTCATTTGTTAAGGTTTTGTTTACTGTGTGTGATTCATTTAATGGAAAGCACATTCACTTCTAGTTGTCTTGCTGTTCATTTTAAGAGCGAGTTGTCCTATAACAGACGAACAGTTATTCAACCGAACGTCCTATAACCCCCCACCCCCGGACGCGATATTTTTTTTCACAGGATGGTAGGGGAAGACTCATGAATATTCATTAGGGAACTCATCCCTGATTGGTCTTAACCCCAGTGACGGGTAGGTTTAGGGGCGGGGTTAGGGGTAAGTCATCAGACCCCCAGTGACGGGTAGGTTTAGGGGCGGGGTTAGGGGTAGGTCATCAGACCAATCAGGGATGAGTTCCCTAATGAATATTCATGAGTCTTCCCCTACCATCCTGTGAAAAAAAATATCGCCCCCCGGACGACGACGGTTATGTTACGAACCGTCACATTTGACTCACGTCATAACCGTCATCACCAATTCTGAAACCGGCACACCCCTACCTACCGCCCATATATTGTACTGGTTCCCACAGATGTTTTGCTGGAAAGTGCGCGTTTCATTTCGTGCACCCGCATATGAACGCATGTTAACGCGCGACATGGTTATCTTTTCCGAGTTGCTGGCAGACAGACAGACAGAGAGAGACGCGCATCAACTTCACTTTACTGTTCTTTACTGACATCAAACTTGGAGAGGAGAGAACACAAGTCTACCCGATTGCTGTTCCCGAAATTCACTCTCATGGTGTTTTTTTCTCTCTTTTCGTGACCAGAAGGATAGTTCCGGTTAATTTTCTCATCGATGTTGTAAACTTTGAATGACATGCTTTGACACGAGGGGGAGGCGGGGCCTTGAGTAATTTGCGGGGCCCTACGCAACTTGCGTAGTGTGCGTATAGGGAGGATCGGCTCTGGATGCAGAGATGCATTATTTACATATGCCAAATTCTATCACCACCAATTCCAATTCTGACCTTACCTGGCATGCATAATACAGTATTTTTAATAGTTTTTGCAGATCCGTGCAAACAGGGATCGCTTTGTTGTTGTCTGTACACAAAGTAATTTTGTTCATTTTTAAAATTTTCATTTTTAAGTACACTGTTGTTGTGTAACTGCACCCTAACTCTTATCCACGAAATCACGAACGACTGGACGAGTCATGTGAATTCATTGGTTAAAAAGAGTTGAAAAATTTTGTTGTGGACAACAGGGCGCCTTGGAGTCAAAACGTTTGAGAACCAATAATTTAGACGGAACAATCAAACATGGGTTAATTCGAGTTGTTACCTGGACCCTGGTAAGCCTGCGGGTGTCCGTGTCCTCCAGAATTCCACGCATTGCTGCTGGTTTTCCCCGTCTCTGTGCCCTCAGGCTGAGCTGGCCAGTTATTAGAAACCCCCCCAGAGGCATTATTGTCAAACGCTGCCCATGGATCATTACCATTACTTGTCTGAAAGAAGGAAAAAGAACAACAATTTTACAATTCCTCAATTATCATAATTGGTAAAAAAACAAAACACATTAAATAGGAACATTTTCACTGATGGCCTCAGACCAAAACTCTTAAATTCTTTTCCACAGCATAGCAGAAGTCTGTCACAAACATAAGGAAAAACAGCTTAGTGATTCTGTTCATTTAAATCACTTTCAGCTGGTTCAGGTCAGCCACACGATCTTTTGACCTGTAGATTGTATATATTACAAATGCACATGCACACAATCTTTCATAACACAAGCCACATGTATTGTTTGCCTTTATGTTAAACATGCATTTTTGACCATTCCCTGCCAACCAGTGAAAAGGTATTTTTATCTGTAAAACTTTCCAAAGAAAAAAGAAAAGGAAAAAAGCCCACTCACATCCAATGATAAGTGCTCTAATAACCTTTGGTTGTCACTATTAGCCTGAAAAACACATTTGGCCAGCTATTTTCAGATGTCAGTCGATACAAGGACTTCTAAATAAAGCCCACGAAATGGGAATATACGTACATAGATGGAAATGTTGAATAGAAAGTGATGTTTACCTTCCAGAGATGGATGCTTTAATTAGTCAACACTGAACAATTGACTCTCAATGGACCTCTGGCTGGCCTTGATGACACAAAAACCCAGAGCCACAGAGAAATAAACCATAAGCTCTGTGTTTCCGAATCATCACCTGGCCGCCCACACATACACATCATCCAGACCTCATTCATGGTATCATCCCGTCATAATCAATAACACATTTGAGGAACTCTAAGCACAACAAGTGATTTCTGACAAATGCATGTCAAATGATAGCTGCAAATATCATTGTTATTTTACGCGAGTCGACAACAGAAATGCAGACAAAGTCCAACACTATCTGTTTGGTTTCTACTTATTTGCAAAAACCACGTCATGCATCGAGAATGTAGCACCATGCTGCGAAAGACGGGTTTAGAAAGTGTTTAGGTGTGTTTATGTGGATTGGATTCATGTGTGCCTGGAATTAGGAAATGTTTGTTTTCCTCCTCATCTGTAAGTTGCTTTGGATAAAAGTGTCTGCTAATGTAAATGAAAAATGTAATAGAGAGTATTTTCTTATTTGAGAAATTTAATTCAATAGAGGGCATGTTTTGAGCTCATGAATACGGTTTATAATTTAGTTAGAAGCCAGTACAAGTGGCTCAAAAAGCAGTCTAGATCATTTAAAAACTTGATAACAGAACAGCTTTTAGTTCAGTTCAACAAACACATGAAAAATTAAACAATGACAAACAGAATATATATATATTTTTAAATTCAGTAAGCAAATTCTGCAACATAAATCAGGCAGCTATCCAACATATGACAAAATCTTTGCATTTGTTTTAAAAGCTGGCAAACTGTGATGTGACCATTTAGCTGAAACAGTGCTGATGAGTTTGATTGATGTGTGATTTTGTAGTGAGCTCAATGGGGTCTGATTCAATCTGAATGCATTCAGACCCCAAGAACAGGGTGTTTATGTTTTGGTCTTGTTAGTGAGGGCTCCAGTATTACATCTGAGTCCATCATGCCAAATTAATTTAGGGTACCTCATCTGGTGAGGTGGAAGAGAAGCCTGGGGTAACTGGGGCGACTGGGGTTTCCGGCTGAACTACATCCACCTTAGGGGAAAGACGTGACATCATCATAAAGCGCCTGAAAGGGAAGGGTTACCCTGATATGACACTAAAGTCAAGATCTTCCCCATCAAACCACTGATTTTCTCAATAGCAGAGGCACAGCCGAGACCTTCACGCATACAACGAAGGGTTTAAAATAGAGACAGTTCGAGATATATATTATTCATCAAATAGTTTTGAAAGCCGAGTGCTGACTAATACACAATCATGCAACTTCACCATCAGCGTCCACTTGATTTATGACATTTCAGACAAATGCTTGTTTCATCAAAACTCAACCACAACTTAAGCAATTACTATATATATATATATATATATACACACACACACAGTATATACCTTATATGTCTTACAACATACAGTATATCACTACTTGATGACCCACCCAGTAAAAAAAAAATGTCTCTTGAGAGAGCTGACTACTAATTATGTCTACAGATCACAGGGATGTCTGTGGTTAACAATGCCACACATTTTAATATGACTCATAAATATCTTGCATTTCTGCTGGTTTCACATCTGTTATCAGTGATCATCGAGCACATGCAGACTACAGATAGGTTAAAGTCTGTCCCTTGACTAGTCAATCAGCTTCAGGCTTTGAGATAACACCATAAGCAACTATTTATCATCAGGAGGTGGTTTTACATGATCAGTTCTGATTAATCATGATTATATATTTTATACGCTATACACTTAAAAGGTACTAAAGAGGTATATACTTTATAAGCTTTTGAAACTTAAAGACAACATGAACTCAACATTGATCCTAAATACAGACTCAAAAAATGTACTTTAATCAAAATATAATAACTTTCTATGCATCTGAGGCTGATGGTTAATTTGTAACCAACTAAATCAGGGAACTACACTGCGACCAAAATGGTCGCATATATGCGACCTTTTGAAATGCCATTGCGACCCTAATTTTTTAATGGGTCGCAAATGTATCACTGACTATTTTTGTACCTACCTTATGTTTTAGGCAATATGCTGTGATTTACTATGAGCATTTATTAAAACAGAAATGTGTAGCCTATTTTAAGTATACGTTTTTATAACGTGCTCTGAGCATTCAACACATCAAGTTGGCTTCAGCCCCGCGAGAGAGAGTGAGGCGCAGGCGCGATCGAACTCTGTGTGTGTGTGAGAGAGAGACGCCGGCGCGATCGAACTGTGTGTGTGTGTGTGAGAGAGGCGCGGGCGCGATCGAACTCTGTGTGTGTGTGTGAGAGAAGCTATGTTTCCATCCACACGTTTTTATCCGCATTAAGTGATATCGAATGAAAAATGCCTTATGGAAACAGTAAAATTCGATTGAATTTCATGAATATCGACTCAAATGAAATACGATCGGTCTCATCGGATTTTATCTTGATCAATATACGGCTTATGCGATAAACGCGGATGGAAACGTTATTATGGTGCGAATGCGATCCATTTTGCCTAGTAAAACTTTGTTCACAAATGTTGGCTTGAATGTTGTGCAATTCGGTGAGAAAATGAATGGAAACACCTTAACATGTCTCAAATCAATTCGATCGCAAAACAGCATGTGACGTCATTACGCACAGGTTTTTATCCGCTTTAAAGCCGTTTGATGGAAACACACTTTCACCAGCTTTATTCGCATGAGGGTTTTTTTTTTACCGAACTTCAGATAATTCGATTGACAAGTGGATGGAAACACGCAGGTGCGATCGAACTCTGTGTGTGTGTGAGAGAGAGACGCGGGCGCGATCGAACAGTGTAAACATAAAAACATACTCCGACATTTTGTTCATACAGGACATGATTCAAACTGCAAAGTGTTTACTTATATTTGTGTACACTCACAATAAAACACAACATTGTGCTTTTGTCACACTCTAAACTCTTGTCAAACTGTAACCTACAACTGTAACCCAACCACACACACACACAGTATTAAAAGCAAAACATATTTATCCAACCCCATTTAAAAACAGTCTGTGTGTTCCATCTTTTGGAGATTCATCACATCGCATTGGTTTTCATTTCTTGTCCTCGGAGTCGGAGCACTAATCTGTTTATTTTTAAGTTACACATTCTACATTGATTAAAAAAGAAAATCAAATGTGTTTTTAATGGTAATTATTTTATACGGAAATCATTTATTTATAATTCAGATGAGAATAAAGTTAGGGTTAATTAAAATTAAGGAAAACAATATATATATTGATCTGAAATATAGCAAATTAATTTTAAATTCATTCAGGTACAATTACCAAACATATATCAAGGTCATTTAGTCTTTTTTATTAATTTAATTAATAAACTAATTATATAAAAACTATTGTCAGTGCACTACAAATAAACTGGTTCTATGCCTTTATTAATAAAACTTATACAACTTAAAAATACAAGGCTTAAGACATTTAAAAAATGCCTTCTGCATTTTTGTTTTGCTTTTCCCTCCATTGTACCGAAATCGTACCGAACCGTGATGTCTGAACCAAGGTATGAACCCAACCGTGACTTCTGTGTACCGTTCCACCCCTAATGCAGTACAGTTTCATTATTGTTCATTATTATCCGGAGAGCGGCTTACTATAAATAATTTGTGCGACCAAATCATGTTTTGCACCAGTAACTGAAAAAGTCAGTAGCGCAAGTGCCACCAGTGGAAAAGGTTAGTGTAGTTCCCTGTTAAATGCTTATATCAACAAGAAAATGTGAAAAGTGCTTCCCTGACCTCAAGTGCACTTAATTGTATTTCATTAAAAGAACTTTGTTCACTTAAATTCTTATATTTTTTAAAAACTGTACTTGAAGATAAAATATTACTGAAATAAAAGCCCACTTAAGTGTATTTTCACTTTACTACACTTTCATGATACACTTGCTTGCACTTTGTAATAATATCAAAATAAACAGTTTATTAATTATTTTTACAAGGGTGCAAAACTCATCGTCACGCGGCTATGATGTGTCGGGGCTTTGCTATACAGTTGCCAAAGTTCTCTAAGTGTTCTAATACATTTCATCATAATCAAACCATGATATTATTTCCTGCTGAATGTTCTGAAGTGTGTCGCTTTAAATGGAAGCTTAATGAAAGCTGTTTCATGTTGTCTTTAAAACTGGTAAAAACTATAAAAACTGAGCCAGTGAAGACAAATTTTGTGCAACAGAAAAGTGATAGTTGTCAACTAGCTTCCCACTCATCAAAATACTGCTGATCAAATCATGGTTCCTCAGAAAAACAAAGCAGCATATGCAAAGACTTCAGCCCACTCAATGAAATCCTCTGTCTCAGCACCGAAAGCCAAACCCACAGTACCTCAACTAGTCCAAACACTTCGTCTTGTACTTTAACTAAAAATCATCATCCTCCACATTTGGCCCCTCGCTGATCCTCTGAATAAGCAACACAGGATGTTTTATCCTCAGTCTTAAGAGTTTGCTTGCACACACATTTTTACATTCTGAGTAAGACATTTTATGCTTCGGCACTGGAATCTCCCTTCCTGCTCACTTCCTCTCAGGATGTTACACAGCGGGAGAAATGCACCGAGAAGGAACGTCACACAGAAAATGAACAGAACCGCGCGTTTTGGACACGATAAATAAAACCGAGTGCTTTACGTGCAGCATCAGTCAACAGACTCACTCAACCATTCACATGGGAAACTTCCCATCATACTCATTGTGGCTTACCGGTGCAGTGCTGGCTGCAGTGGATGGGGTCGGCACGTGACTGTCAAAGAACGAGAGATCGAGGGCGGCTGCATTTCCTCCAGAAGTAAAAGGTTGAGCCGGGTTAAGCTAGACGAACATGAAGAGACAAAGAGTCAAATAAGACAAAAATGTCCTGGTGCACCAATTCTGACTTTGTTCATTTGAGACTGAATGTAAGTCGTGTCATATTTTATAGTATAATGGTATAGATAATAATTATTATAATTTTAGTTTCTAATAATAGTTTGTAGTATCATATAATTCAAGATAAATTATAATAATGATTGTTATTAAATATTTTACTTTTCTCTGACCCCTGAAATTTCCTCCCCAAAGAATCCGGTATCTGGTAAGCAATGTTTAGGATAAAATATCTCATGCATTTGGATTGCTGGTATCGTATGAATTGGTAGATGCATAGACAAACTTGTTCCTCTCAAGTCCAAATAGTGCAAAGTCTTCTCAAGGAACAAATATTTTCATAAATGGCTGCTGAAGTTGGAGAAAAAGGTGAAACATTTCGAGACACAGGTGTTACTGAGGCCTTAGATGTATCCATAAAAAGATTAAACATTTTTCTTGATCTTCAAACATAAGCCTTGATTGACTATGTCATCTTTAGTCCCTATCATGCGAAAAATGTGAGATTAACATTTTAGCTGGGTGTGGTAAAATATTTTGCTCATTTTGATAGGAAAATCTTGAAAAGTGGCTTGCCCCTTGATGACTTGATATGAATGTTTGGACTAGGTCAAGGCTATTTTTTCCCTCTACTTTTCATTTATAAAAGAAGCAACTTCAGAATCCAGCAATGAAAAACAGCTTTGGGTGCAATTTGGAGAAGTGTGAACATGTGGTCATTTGTTTGGCTCTGAGAAAAGAGAAATGAAGGAAGCACGCGTGTTTGTACGATAGTGCAGCTGTGAGTTGAGGTCAGGAGGGAAATCTAAATGTATGTCTGTGGCCAGCAACAGGCAGAATCACTACACAGCCTATTTATACAGAGTAAACTGTTTACCAGCTCTCCATGTGCATTACTGCCTCAGGATGGCTTTATAATGTGATTTTATTCAGCTACACAGAATGACGCACCTTAACACAAAGTTACTGCTGCACTGAATGTTTAGATTTCGGAATGTTTTTGTAGCTTCATTTTCAATAAATGAAATTGGTGGAACTCCTATTTCAGATGTTAATGTTACATTTCCACACTAGTAAAACTAGCACATTCATTCAGCCTTAACCCTTTAACTGTCTGCTCAACCAAACGGTTGAGCACATTTTGAGTCACTATATTTTATTGAGAGGAGTACCTAACTTAACTCAAACTGATTGAGCCATCTCTACCATCTGGTTGAGGTATGTTATGCCACTAGATGTCACAGTGTCAGTCAAAAGCACTTGTCACAACACTTCTTCTAACATGGATGTCAGAAACAAATAAATCACCCCAGCCATGTGAACTGTTTTTGGTGAAATTTTGCAAGCTAAGCATATTTTTTTGTACATATTACACTGTAAGAGCCCTACCTTTACAAAATTATGTTACTTGGTGCCATGATTTTTCATGGCACCAAGTATGGTACTTAAGTACGTTTTTAATAATTTTTCAAAAACATGCTCAACCAAACGGTTGATTTGGCACATAACGGTTAACATTACAATGCACTATTAAAACTTGGTTGTAATTCAAGTATGCTTTGGAATAAAGACCTAAGTTTAGTCTTGTTTTAAAGAAAACACTCAGCAGACTATTGCTGAAGTAAAAGCACTTAAAAAAATAAAAGTATGAAAAAGTTATGGAAGTTTAAAATTCACATTAAATCAAATATACTGTACTTAATATTTTTTTCTTTTATATAAAATATATATTTTACAAAATATTTTTTACTATAAAATTACTATAAAATCAAAGCCATATATCTAACCAAGTTGTGTTCCAAATTTGAAGTTGATATAAAAAATATTGAAGTTCTCATGAGATTTTGTTTAGGGATAATACCAAAAATGACATAAATTACATTGAATTTAATTGTATGCATTCTGCTGTAACAAATTAATAAATTGCTGTCCAAATATCACTTCTGTTACAAAATATGGAACCTTGAGACTCAGACCTTTCTGGCAATGTGTTTTGTCAAGACTAGAAAAGGTTTTGATCATAAATTATGATGGGCAATGAAAAAGTATGGCAAAGTATGTGTATGAATTCTGGAACCATTTTTTACCATTAAGTGACATCAACCATTTGGTAGAGGCCGATATTAAAAAAAATTATGGGATGTGTTGAAAAAAAAATACATTGAGTGTGGTTACTAGTGACATAAGGAGATGAGAAGTACAAAAAAAATGTTTTTTCCATCACTTTTTTTCTTGGTGCGGAGGGTTAGTTCACCCTAAAATCAAAATGAAGTTATTATTTACTTACCCTGGTGTTGTTCTAATCATTTCTAATCATGTTATATGCCTTCTTTCTTTTATGGACCACAAAAGGAGGAATTTAAAAAAAATGAATAGGGACCAGCATAAACCTTTTTTAAAAAGATGCAATAGTATCACAGAATGATCCCATGCGACGTGTCGTATATTCCAAGTTATCTGGGGGTATACAATACGAAATTAAAAATATTATGGAGCAAAAATCCTTATCTTGGCCATTGGTCTGTGCATGGCTACAAGACATGCGCGTTCGTGTGACTCTGTTAGCGTCGCAGTTCACTCTTTCTCGCCCAGAAAAAGCACACAGGTTGTGAGAAATCAAGATTAACCAAAACACAACATGAAATACAATGCCTAGTGAAGAAAGTACATGGATACATTTAGGGATTTCTGAGTTAAATATCTTCGGACCAGAACTCTGATGACAGTCAGGATGACAGTTGACAGATGTGAACGCGATAACTTCTTGTTACGAAGAACACAACAGATATATTCATCACCTCAGACAAGAAGGTACATGAATCGTGTTTCATGTTGCGTTTTTGTTAATCATGATTTCTCACATCTTTTTCTGGGTAAGACGGAGTGAAATTGCGGCGCTAACAGAGTCACATGTCGCATAGCCTAGAGCCGAATACCAACAGCCAAGGTCTGGATTTTCATTGATTAATAGATTCAATTTCATATCGTACATCCCCAGAACACTTGGGATGTACAACAAGTCGCATGGGATCATTCTGTGATACTTTTGTGTCTTTTTTAAAAAGCTTGATGCTGGATGCTATTCACTGCCATTATATGGACAAGTGCGAGCAGGACTCTTTTTTTTTATTCTCTTTTTGTGGTCCATAAAAGAAAGAAGGGCAAATGGGATTAAAACAACACCAGAGTGAGTAGTTTGTGCCTTAATTTTCATTTTAGGGTGAACTACCGCTTTAACCATGGAATTGAACACTATACTAATACACTTTAACTCTGGCTGGCCACAGGAAAAGAAAACACTTCCTGTTGAACAAACAGGTCACATTCCAGCAGCGATAGTTTCTCTGTCCTTTTGGTCATAAAACACTGTAATGTGTGTATTTGTCCATGAGAGAGACAACCATAATATACTTTATCATACATAGTGAAATCCTAATACATCGCCCAAGCAATTAATCGGCTAATATTTAGCTAATATTTTGAATATTAGTTGATAAAGAGAAACCTGAACTTTGGAATTATAATATTCAATAATTTTTTTGCTGATTCTTAGTATTTATTGTGTAAAATAAATGTTCTCTTATCTTATTATAGCCCTTACTGTCAGAAAGACTTTTAAAATGTTTTTTAAAAGAAGTCTCCTGTGCTCACCAAGGCTGCATTTATCATAAACAGAAATGTAATTACAATTTTTTTTTTAAAGTTACTTTTTTAATATATGTTAAATTGTAATGTATTCCTGTGATAGCAAAGATAAATTTTAGCATCATTACTCTAGTCTTTAGTGTCACATTATCCTTCAGAAATCATTTTAATATGCTGATTTGCTGCTCAAGAGACATTTCTTATTATTATTAATGTTGAAAACAGTTGTGCTGCTTAATATTTTTTATGAAAACAGTGATAATTGTTTTTCTAGGATTCTTTGATGAATAGAAACTTCAAAAGAACAGCATTTTTTTGAATTAGAAATCTGTGGTAAATGTCACTTTTGATCTTATTTAATACTCCTTGCTGAATAAAACTTCATTTCTTTCCAAAACAGACCAAACTTTTCGAGAGTAGTGTATATACACATGATAAAGCCTTTTGGATGAACACTGCTTACCTCTAAATAGTCCTCTGGTACTAATCCGACATCTCCTCTAGAGTTCCTTGCCTCGATCCATCCTCCTCCAATGTTCTGGGAACAGAAGGGACCGGATCAGCTTTACAGAGAAGGTTCTGATCCACCCAATCACATGCAACATCTCAGAGCAGACATGGAGAGCCAGGTGTTATGAAACATTATGCAAGTGAAATAAACTCACCTGATTGGTTATTGTGATTGTCTCACCCTCTCGGACCGACAGCTCATTATTCCCAGGCTCTGCCGAGAAATCATATAAAACCTGTGCCTGTGTGGAGGTAGGAGGTAGACACCAAATGTGTTAGGACATGTTAGCAATCATTAATGGAATAGAACCAGCTAGACTTGTCCGGTTGGATTTTTTTGGACCACATTAAAAGCACAGGACCTTAGCATTAACCTGGTTAATGTTTAACTCGCACTGTTTCTGGAACCAATAAATTATCATTGGAAATTAATTAAGAGTGACTTAAATGAAAACTGTCAAGAAATCCATTCAGAACAAATTCATATATATTAAAAAATTATACATTTTAATTATAAATTATATATCATTCAAAGAAACTGAGGCTTATTTTAGGACAATTGCATTCTGATTTTCAAGACAATCAATCATATTTTCCCCACAATCTAAATGTATGCAATGCCAAAAAACTAATCTTAATAAAAAAAATTATATATTAATTAAATTTGAAGTGATTATTATACATCACTGTAGTATTTGTTGTACTGAAATTAATTTAATACTGAGTTTAAATTATTTTGTTGGGGGTAAACGTTCTTAAATGTCATGAAAATAAAGTCACTTTATCCTGCAATGAATTTTCCTTGGGCAGCGGCTATTTGCACAGCAACTAGATTCGATTAACACTAAGTGAAAATAGCATATTTTCTTAGCGACAGATGCCATTTACACGGTTTAAATAGCAATAGATTCTATTTACACCAAGTAAAAATAGCAGCATTTTCTTAGCGATATGCTATTTACACTAAGTGAAAATAGTGATAGCAAAAATAGCAGCATTTTCTTTGTAATAAGTCTAAAAATAGTATTTCTGCTATTTATAGCCTACTTATAAATAGTAGCAGATATTACTTGGACCGTGTTGTACATTAAACGGTATGCAATAATAACATTTATTAATATTATTAAATGGAAGCCACCTTATTAGGGCAATAAAGCCCTCCCTATACCTGGCCCTAACCCTAAACACTTTAATATTAAACAAACATTAGACACTTCATTTCCACTTTTCAAATCTGTTCTTAATTTTTATTAAATATAAATGCCTTTTCGATTTGATGTGTGATGGGTAAAGGGAGTAGAGTGAGTTCGGCAAAAGGCGGATTCGAACTCGGGTTGATTTGTGTCAAAACTTTCTGCCACACGGCTTACCCCTACACTCCTGCTACTGTTAGCATTGCAGCATCTCAGGTAATCGTGTCTGACCCAACCAGACGTCAGTGGGTGGAGTTAGTGTAAATAGCCTCGGCCAACAAGTCAGGCCAAAATTATATATCCCATTTTTTCTTTCGTTTTCTTTTGGTGTGAACCTGGACATTTTGTCATGAGATTCATCCATACGGTACTGACCTCCAGTGATAAAAGATGATGGAATTTAAAACAGAATAATATAGGCCTAGAGCATGTTTTTGTGATAAAACTAAGCATACAAATTTGATCACAAAACAGAATCATTCCACAATACAAAGAGGGGAAAAAACACTTTCCACAAAGCTCCCGTTATTCTAACACACATAGAGCCAACACACATCCTGAAGCTAACGAAACAGCAAACAGTGAGGTCTGTATGAACAGTTAGACAGGGTCTCTCTCTGTAGGGATTCAAAAGCCACGACTCAACACACAGAGAGTCTGTGTGTGAGAAACTTCACTTCTGATTCAAATAAAATCACTTAAAAAACGTAGCTATAAGGCGGGCCAGTGATGGATGGACCACTAACTGTCTGATGTCAAATGTCCATGACCATTTTCACAACAAATCTTCAAGTAGAAAACTAAGTGATGATAAATAGAAATCATGAGTGCAAGACAAAAGGAGGAAGTAACATGAGGAATAGAGATCAAATTACAGAGAAATTCATAAAGGCGGGATTGATAAATCAGCCTTGCAGCACAAGTGTGCTCACGACAGCATGTGTCTGAATCCCTCCATCATTAGAAACATCCTCATATAGACAGTCAAGGGAGCAGGGCTAAATTAAGGACTAAACTAAGGTTATTATAGTACAACTAAAAGAAAAGGCGAAACTAAAAGATAAAAGACAAAGCTATGAAAAACTGGAACAATGTCAAAACCTCACAATTTATGTGTAAATGCAGCTCACGTAGAATGCAGTCATTTGATTTAGGTGACATTTAGCCTAGGTGAATAATAAAGACAGTCCTACATTTCAGTCACATTTTACATTTTGATTCTAGTATTGGCTTACTTGAGTTTTTTTTTCAGATTTCATAAAAAAAAAAAAAAAAAAAACAGGTAATGATCTGTATTTTTAAACAGAATTTCCCCTTTTTTCCCTATTCAAAATTTAAATGCTTGTAGTTTTACATATATTTTGTGCAATTTAAAGCTTTACCATTAAAATTAGAGGTAATTAATCAACATAAAAAGATATGATATTAAATATTATTGTTTTAAAGACAATTTATAGTATTTTTACATAATACAATTATGTATTTGTTTATGTCTATTTGTTTCAGATCTTTAGACATTAACTTAATCTAAAAAATCATTTAAAAAATAATAATTATATATATATATATATATATATATATATATATATATACACACACACACATTCCTTGCATGGAGAATTTACAGTTAGTGTGTTGGTTATGATTAAGACTAATCTTGGTGAATGATTTACATTTTACCTACATATCCCAGCATGCATCACAAATGACGTCATGACCCCACTAAAAATGTCACAAGACTTCTAATGATCCATATTTTCCAACGTTCACCAGAAAGCCCATAAACGCCGTTAAAATGACAAAAGAGAACATTTCAGACCCATTTCGGAGTGTTAAACATGTCGGTTATGTTGTTTGAGACAGTTCTAAACACTTAAAGAGTAAATCTATCGGCGTGTGTTTGGAAATACTTTGCCAGTTCAAGCCCAGTGTGATCTCAGTGCAAAACAATGACAGACAGATCAGCCACAAACTTTAACCAAAAACACGTCAAACTAGTCCTTACCTTCGACTCCATTATACAAACATTAACCAGTCATCACAGAAACCTGTAGTTTAATGGCGATAAATTCTCCTCTTCTTCATCCAGACATTTCTCTTCTGCCAGAAACGATCCTTCTCAAACTAGTTTATTTACATCGCCAATAACACTTAATCCTCTTGTTCGACCCTAACAGACTTAAATCAAGCGGGTCAGTAATGTGTGTAAATCCAAACTCGCCGTTTGTCCAGCAGTCATGAGCTGTTCAACTTCACTGCAGCTGAGTGTGTGTTACACACACATAAAAGACACAACCGGAAACTGATCGAGCCCCCTGAAAAAAAAGCCAAACTGCTGCTGTATGCGTGTGTAGGGCCAAAAAGTGTACACGTAATATTTACATATTATCTATAATACATAAAAAACACAACAAATATTTCATGTTATGGTTATCATTCATATAAAAAATATACTATATTCACTTATCGTATATAGGTTACTTCATAGTCTAAGAATGTTAAACTAACATTAAACATGTGCTAATGTTAAATAAACAACATTAATACATAAACAAAACAAAGTCTGTTTTGTTTAAGTAGGTATTTAAGTAGTTTTTTTTATTAAATGCTAGTAGAAGAAAAAAAGAAAAGAAAACACAAACATTAACAACAATTATTGTCATTGTCATAACAAAATACAACAATTGGCTTTATGCACAGCTTCACTACTTCCTGAACTTCAGCCAGCCCTTTGTTTCCTGTCTGTCATTATTGGACAAACTGATTAATCCAGGTGTGCCTGGCCTCAGTAACAATAATCAGCCACACCTGGATTAATCAGTTTGTCCAATGACAGACAGGAAACAAAGGGCTGGCTGAGGTTCAGGAAGTAGTGAAGTTGTGCATAAAGCCTATACTCCAGAGTCCTTCAGTCTAGATTAAGTTCCTTCAGTCTTTCAGTCCAGATTAAGTGCCAAATCCTTAAATACAGCAACTCTTTTAGCTTTTAAGTTTTTAGAGAACTCAAAAGATTTAAAATACCTTTTTTGTTTCAAGTTTAAATCTTTTTAAAAAAGAGGATTGCATTTAGAAAATGTAAGTAGTTTGGTCCACAGATGTTTTAAGTAATGATTACGTCAGCTTTTGTCAAGTTCAAACTAAGAGTGGCGGGCCGAGTGTTAGAGCGGCCTCTAGTGGAAATGAGTTATATTTCCAAAATACACGACAGCGGGGGAAAGGGTTTAGAAATAAGTAAAAAAAAAAGGGGCGTTGCTTATATTTCGTTATTTATTTTTAATGATTTAGTTTATATCTAATGGTTTTTTTTTAAATATTTATTTACTTTACTTTATTTCAATGCATGCTGATTGAATGCGAATGTATTGCCTTTGTGTAATGTTTGTTATTTCAAATAACTTTGAAGAAGTTTAATAAATGTTTTTTTATAGCCTATATAGATAGATAGATAGATTTCTGTGAAACCAGGGCCTTGTGTTCAAACCTCTCTGTTAGAACAAAAGTTCCTGAGATTAAGGAGCTGCATACCTTTTTAGGGCAGTAGTAGCCTATTTTGTATTAGTGTAATGCATTCTGTTTGTTTTTAACCAGGCCCATGTCCAAACTGTAAGTGACTGATTTCATGATACATTATGGACATGCACTCTTACTGTTTTCAAATAATAATAGTATAAATATATAAGATTACAAAAAAAGGTTTCATAACCAATTGCAAATAAAACAAACTTTACAATAATTTAAAGTTTTAATTAAATGAATAAAATTTTAATCAAATGTTTAATCTACAAAATATTTATCTATTTACTTATGTATATATTTATTCGTATTAATCCATCTCTTTGATGTTTTTTATTGTTTCGTTAGTTTAACCAAACGACCCCTCATATTCATTTTGTGTAGATTAATGATTTTAAAGCTTAATTTATCTTAATTTTTTAGGGAAAATTGCGCCAAGCAGGAAGTTTATGCTTATTCCTTTCAGTTATGTGAACTTATTTACTGTCTGTCCCGCAATATAGAGATGTGAAAGAAAGACAATACACACACCCTGAATTATGACCTAAAACATTCTTTCTATTCTTTTCATTTTTATGATAGCCTTTTCTTTTTTACAGTTCTGACCGCTGCTCCTTTGCTTTGACAAGAGGATACTGAAAGGGCAAAACCGGAAAAAAAAATATTTACTTTAGCTTATGTAACATTATTAATGAATCTCTGCCATAGTCAGGAATTACTAATTGCTACAATTCTATGCTGGCTGTTCACTACGTCTCCAAAATAAATAATAATTTTTGTATGTAATGTTTGTTCACTTCTAAAGAACATGAAAGGTGCTTTTGATTGTTGATGGCAACCTCTCTTGTACTACTTGTAGCCTTTATGCTTCCTCAATATAATAAACTAACATCAGGTGATGTGGAACCTGATTCACCAGAGTGAGAGGAGGAGGACTGTGACTCCGGTGAGGGGGGACGGGTTACAGACCGCTTACAAAGAGTTCTGTTCAAGTGCCCTACTGAGCAGTTTCATGTACACTGTCTTCTCAAACATCTGACACAAAGACTTGAAAAGGTAACATGGGCCCATTATCTCTTGTCCTGCTCTTGCTTTCAGCCCAGTGGTCCTGCGCTCAGGAAGACCCTCTTCTGCCATTCTCTGAACACCTGGACCCCGAGCACAATGTGCGGCTGAAGTGGGGCTTTGATGAGATCCAGGGCACCATCTTGTTCGAGCTCACTGTCAACACCAGCGGCTGGGTCGGGTTTGGCTTCAGCCCTAAAGGAGGAATGACTGGAGCCGATATCGTCATTGGAGGAGTTGGACCGAAAGGCAGTTACTTCACGGTAAAGTCAAAAAAGACTGACACTCATAACTGTCAAAGTCACTTACAGTGGATACTATTCTTGATTCTAAATCATATATGTATTTCAAATTTAGTTAGAGTATCTCTTATATAAATTATCTTTCACATTATCAAGATTCAAGACTGATGATAACTGTCAATAACTCACTTCAAGTAGATTTACAAGCTCTTCTTTATATTCTTGATTCTGATTCATACTGAGTGATATGTAATTAATATGTAGTTCATTAAATATAAGATTTTATATTATGAACTTATTTAGTTTTCTCAGTGGCTCTAAGCTGGGATATTTTGGAAGTTATTTTATGAGTGTGACAAAGTCAATGACAAGACAAAGTACTTTTGTATTAGACGTATAAGTTAAATTATATTTGTTTCCAAACTAGACGTTCTAAATAGATGTAAATGTTGGTAAATTAACCTGATATTGTAAGTGTTTTGGCCTATTGAAAACTATAAAACTGGTTTGAACTGGTTTGGGAACTGTACATCTATAAACATAAAGACAAACACCTGTTGCTATGCGTACATATATACATCTTTGTTTTCCTGTTGTTCAGGACCGTCATTCTGAGGGGAATTCAATACCTGTGGTTGACCAGCAACAGAACTACAAACTCCTGTATCTAACTGAGTCTGACGGGAAAACTGTCATGAAGTTTCAGAGATCTATTGAGTCTTGTGATGAAAAAGATTTACCTATCACTGTGAGCATACACATTGAATGTGTTTCTTCCCCCTATACCACTACAAAGGAAGAGTGGTTTAACAACACCATGTAACCCTCCTCTTTCTTGTATGTAATATGTATTCTGCAGTTTTATTCCGAAAACAATGATGGTGAAAATATGGCATTGTTGACAAAAAAAAAAAAAAAACCCAGCAATGTAAGGGAATCCATGATGGCGGTCCTCAGGGATCAGGGTGTTTCTGAGAACGCCTTTCCATAAACAAAATGCTTATCCTGTTTGTCAAGAGGCTCTCAACTGTCCTTCTAAAAACCCTCCTCAGAAAACTCAGAAACCATAAATTACTAGATCAAACAAATAGCTGTTATCAATGGCCATAGGCACACTGCAAACTTCTGTGAGTGTCAACCCCATTTAACTGCATTGTGTAGGTGGCCAAAGAGCTTCTTATTTTCTATTTAGAGATCACGAAAAGTGTTTTCTTTGTTTTATTGCACGATCAGAATCTTCCCATGAAGCTGATCTATGCGTACGGGCAGAGCGATGACATTGTGTACCATAATAACCGAAGGGGAACGAAAGAGGTGAACCTGTTGAAGTACATGCCTCGTGTCAGTCCACCAAACAGCAAGTATTTCGACATGACTATGGTCAATGTAAGAGATTTTTATTTTTCCTTTTTGCCTGAAATTTCATGAGTAACATTTACTTATTGTCATTTAATAATGCAAAAATTATGCCAATCATTTAGATTATAAAGAAGAAAGTACTGGATGTTTAAGTCACTTCAACTTAAATTACGTTAAACTGACCTTTTTTTTGCCAATCATTACGTAGGTTATATTTGGGTCTTTAGCTACCCGGATCTATATCTAACACAAAGCTGTATTTTCAGCAGCATTACTCCAGTCTTCAGTGTCACGTGATCCCTCAAATCAATAAATATGCTGTAGTAGGCCTATTAAATATGCTGAATAAAAGTATTAATTTCTTCTTCTTCTTTTTTTAAATCACCTCAAACTTTTGAATGGTAGCCTACTGAAACTACATGTTGATCTCAAAACTCGGCAGCAATCATGCAAGAAAAAAAAGTGAGTGTGAACTTTCACTTTACTTAATAGGCTGCTTACATTTAAAATCATTTCAGTTCTCTGTACCAGCCAATCAAACCTACTATCACTGCAAGATCACGAGAGCCCCGACTTTTGATCGCAAACAGCACATTTATCGTGTAAGTGAGTATGAACTTCACACACATGATCTATCCACCGATCTGTCGATCATCTTCATCTCTGACTTACTTTCCTCATCTCCAGATTGAGCCGGTCATCACAAACTTCGACCTCGTGCATCATCTGCTGCTGTACCGCTGCCCGCCGAGTGTGACGGACCCATTTGAAGTGCAATGTTACACGGGCGACGGAGAAGAGTGTATGGAGACCGTTGCTGTGTGGGGAGTTGGCGGAGGGGTTAGTCTCCCCTGTCAATGTAGTTTTATAGCATTTTCATGTGAGAAAACAACCAAATTTAAGCAATTACTCACATAACTGATTCAGCTGGTTCACTGAAAATATCTGCTTTTCAATTTTTATAAATAATATTACTTTATTATTGAAATAGCCTACTATTCATGTATTAATATGCTAAACTTGAGGTAAAATTTTTTGACTGAAGCTCTATGTAACCTTTTAATTATATTATGTTTTTCAAGGCTTTTGAAC